TTGGAGGCGCCTTGAATATCCCTGACGTCTTTATCACTCTCTACTCCTCTGTGTTTTACATAGCTCAATTTCCGACCACAAATGCCATGGTGCCCTTCGGGATCACACCCGAAAATTCCAACGCCGGGCTGCAATACATTCTGCTAGATCCACCACCAAGATCTACGTTTGTTTTTCAGAACGGCTGGGCTGCTAGATCGCTGCAGAAGCTTTCGAAATATATGTTCGAGCAAAGGAAGTTCAATGAGATCAAGTTCATTAGCGGGTGGGATAAGACGCTGTTTAGTGTCGGGTCTTTGAAGAAGAAAACCATGTCAGGAGCGCGTGTGGATGTTGAGAGAGCGTAACGGAGTGTCGTTTGCCTATGAGAGACCGTCTCTATCATTTTAAACAACCGCATAGGGTTCATTTTGGCCCCACCAGCCCCGTCTCTGATGCGTAACGCGCCTGTCAAGACTGTTATCCCGAATTGTTACCACTACCCACGATAGGGACCCCCCCTTGAGCCTTGCCTGAAAGAACACCATACTCAAGCCATCCTTATCCGACCTTATGTCTGTTTTGCCCATTTGAAGCTTCAAACACTCCCGCGCCAGCTCAAAGCCTCAGTACCTCATCCAGATATTGACAGGTAATCCAAGCCAGTCATCGGAGGTATCTAGGATAGCGGTGCCGCCCGTCCAATCATCCAAATTCGCACTGCGACCTTCTCGAATCCTCTGGCTGAGACGTTGCAGGCGGCTGACAACCTCGTTTCCAACCGATACGGGCCAACTTCCAGAGAATTCGAAAGAGACGTTCCACGTCTTGCGGTGGGGAGTGGGACTGGCCAAAGCATCGACATGTTTAAGCTCTGGGCGTATATCCGGACTTGAAACGGGAGGACACCGTTATCGATTCGGATGTTGACATTTTGTGTTGCGTTTGCAACTTCCTAACTCGGCTTCTGGTAACCAATCGCGCTGTCGAATCCTAGATTTATTCGACAGATCCCCTCTTTGGCAATCGACATTTTCCGTTCCTGCTTCATTACTCCGGAGGAACGCATGAATCTGGGATGGCCGGAGATAAGTTGGTGAAAGCTTCGAGCCGGCAAGGAACATCAGAGCATCTCGCCTGTTTATGATTGAAGGGATTTCTGTCTGTGGGTTTCACTCGCCACGAAGCGGCGTATAATGGCAAGGTAAGGCATAGCACCACAAATACAAGAAGCTCTCGCTGGATGGCCATAACTTCTACAGCGATGATGTTGCCTCAAGACTCCTGCACAGCCCGGTCGACGTGTATTCACCGTGTTAAAGTCGAAGGAAAAGGCTATCAGGCTGTCGGACCTCCACAAGTATTTGATTGGAGCACGTGTGGACGCAACCGTGTCAATTTCGGGCATATCGGTCGGCCGTCTCAGAGATTAGCTGATGCTATTCACAGGCCTGGTGGGCCGTCCATGTGGATAAATCATGTCATCAACGTCAATTTCGTGAGCTGATGCACCTTGATCTTTTCATCTAGCGCTGGAAAGCGCGCATCAGCAAATGCATCAACGTAATCCCAGAGATCTAATCGTCTAGCATGTTGCATGCAGAGTCAGAGTCACCCGCGAGCCCGTTCAAATGGTTTCATCCAATCATTCCAACATGTGCCTTTGACGTGTCGAGAAATGCCCCGAGTGCCGCTTCAAGCGAGAAGGGAGTGAGCTTCGAATGCATGGTAAACCCTGCAGCTGAGTATCAACGAATGAAAATACCAAGCTCTTCGGCCAAGCTCTTCGGCCAAGCTCTTCGGCCAAGCTCTTCGGCAGCGGGTACTGGTACGCGGCGCTCGTCTTCAGATCCCTCGAGATAATGTACTGATATGCAAGGCGCACTCGGGACACTGCAAGTATGTCCCGAGTCTGGTCTAGAACGAAGACAGCTCAACATACCTATGACCATTCCGTTGAGATACGTCTGGCAAGTTCGTCATGCAACAAGATATGATACCTAGGGCCAGACACTAGAAGCTACAACGGTGAGGCGTAGGAATAAGGTGGACCCTCTAAAAGCCGTCTAAGCTTGCTTAGCGTCCAAAGGCCCGCTATCTCCTCCCCCGAGGCTCGAGCTAAACTACCCTACACTCGTGCACCAGCCAGCCATGACACCAAGCATTATTATAAAGTGGGGGATCATCTCCCTCGGAAAGCTGCGACTTCTTGCTCATCCACCTTTGAGCGTCCATCAACCCTACCAATCGACCACTGCTCCTTCGGCAAATCGTCACGATGAAGCTCCTAGGTAGTTCAGAAAAAGCCATCGACGACTCTTCCCCAGAGCGTGACGAGGCTGCAATTCACGGCACACCGTTGGCAGACCCCCAGAAAGGCCGCTGGGAGCGCAGTTGGCCTACTATTGCCTGCGGGGCTGGACTCTTTTCTGATGGCTATCTCAACGGGTAAGAACCCCATATGTGCTCTTTGCGTCGCCCCTACTCACCTTTGGTGTCCGGCAATATAGGGTCATTGGCCAAGTGAACACTATATTGAAAGCGTTGTATAAGAAGCAGTACTCGAACTCTCCCGCGCAGAGTAATGTCAATTCGATAGCTTTTGCCGGTACTGTCGTCGGCCAGCTATTCTTTGGATGGATGAGCGATCACGTCTCGCGCAAGTGGGCTTTGATGACCTCGACAGTCATACTCTTTATATTTGCGGCTCTGAGTGCAGGGTCCTATGGTGGTGGCTCTATCAATGGCATGCTTCAGGCTCTCACAGCTTGGCGATTCCTCCTTGGTATCGGTATCGGGTGCGTCACTCTACTCGCGGATTGTACCTGTGGCTGACAGAAATGCAGCGGTGAATACCCCGCCGGCAGTGTAGCCTGCGCGGAGAGCACTGGGGAACTGAAAGAGGGGCATAGGAACAGATGGTTCATCATGTTCACCAATGTCCAGATCGATATCGGATTCGTGGCTTCCTCGTTCGTACCTATGATTGTGGTACTGGCTTGCACGGACAATCATCTACGCGCAGCATGGAGAATATGCCTCGGACTCGGCGTCATTCCCCCACTCAGTCTCATATATTTACGGTTGAAACTTCAAGAGCCGGAGGAGTTCAATCGCGAAACCATGAAGAACACACACACACCATGGTGGTTGGTGATTAAGTATGTCGAACTTACGCGATACATCCCCTCATTTGATCGAATGCTGACTATGCGCAGGTTTTACTGGGCCCGCCTTCTAGTGGTATCCATGATCTGGTTCATCTACGACTTCTTGACCTACTCGTTCTCCATCTACTCATCAGCCTGGCTACTAGTCATCCTCGGAGACTCGGCACCTATCTGGAAATCATTCGGCTGGGATACAGTTATCAACCTCTTCTATTTGCCCGGCGCAATCGGCGGTGCTTTCCTAAGTGACATTCTCGGCCCTAGGCTTGCACTGGGCTCATTTGTCTTGGCTCAGGGTATCGTAGGCTTTATCATGTCAGGCTGCTATCCCTACCTTGACAAATCTAGCACAGTAGGTGGCTTCGTCGTCGTCTACGGCATCTTCCTTTCCCTCGGTGAAGCAGGACCCGGTGACAACATTGGCCTGGTTGCATCCAAGACCAGTGCCACAGCAATCCGTGGCCAGTACTATGCTATCGCCGCTGCAATGGGGAAGATCGGCGCTTTCGTTGGAACCTACGTCTTCCCAGTCATTCAGAACAACGCTCCAGGTGGCGCGGATAGCAACCGAGGTGGCCAAGATCCCTTCTTTGTGAGCAGCGCTCTTTGCATATTCAGCGCTGGTTTGGCATTCTTTCTTCTGCCGCATATCGGGCAGGATACGATTACGAGTGAGGATCTGAAGTTCAGGGCTTATCTCGAGGATAATGGATGGGATACTAGGCAGATGGGCACGAAGGAGTATCAGATGAATAGCAGCTCAACTGTGGATGAGATTGGTCAATCGGCAGGAGAGAAGGTTTAAGGCTTTTATTGGGAATATCATGACGGAGAGCTGGAGAATTTGATGACTGGTTGGGATTCCAATGTACCGGCGAACAAGATATCCCAAATTGAGTTTGAATTGACCTATTTTTCGGAGAACAACCAGTCACCTCCAAGATCGATGATGTTTTCCCTACATGTATGCAACATAGTCAGAAGCCCGGACATAACACATCGAATTTTACCGCTCGCTCTTGCTCTTAACTTATGCGACGTAATATGAACCTTCATGATATACAGACAGTCACTCATTAACCCCCGCCAAGTATTTGACCATCTCAGATTTCCTGCTTTGAGAACACGCCGACCAAACAAACCCATCACCCCTCACCACCCAAACGCACTCTCCACAAACCCCCCACGCAAAATGGACAACCTCCCCACCACATACGCCGGCAAGAAACCCCCCCCTCCCCCCTCAAAACCCCCACTAACACCCCCGCCGACCCCATCCCCATCGCCATAATCGGCGGCACCGGCCTCTCCTCCCTCCCCTCCCCTCCCTTCCACCCCCTCGCCCTCATCCCCCCCACCCCAACCCCCTGGGGTCTCCCCTCCTCCCCCATCGCCATCCTCCGCTACACCCCCCCGGCGCCCTCCTCCACCGACCCGCCCCCGTCAACAGCGCCATCGCAACCGACGATCGTAGCCTTCCTCGCCCGCCACGGCGCGCACCACCAGTATGCGCCGCACGAGATACCGAACCGGGCGAACGTGGCGGCGTTGAAGAAGTTGGGGGTCAAGGCCGCGGTGGGGTTCAGCGCGGTGGGGAGTCTGAGGGAGGAGGTGAGGCCGAGGGATTTTTTGGTGGCGGGGGGGGTGGTGGATTGGACTAAGGGGGTGAGTTGTTGTTGTTGATTTCTGAGAGAGAGATAGATGGGTGGGTGGGGTTGGGATTATGGGGGAGGGTGAGGGTAGAAGGGGGGGGGGGATGGGGGAGAGAAGGAAAGAGGCCGTGCACTGGCCATGAAGCTGACGAGGGAGTTCTCGTGACAGGTGCGGCCGTGGACGTTTTTCGAAAACGGCATGGTGGGCCATGTCAGCATGGCGGATCCATTCGATGCGCCTCTGTCTAAAGCTGTCCATGATGCTATAAGCCGGCCTGGGGTATTGGAAGGCGAGGATGTCACAGCGCATAGTGCTGGGACGGTCATCTGCATTGGTAAGAGTTGCCGCTACCCTACCTATCTACGTCTGCTAGAGAGAGAGAGAGAGAGATGCATACATGCTGAGACCGTTTTACATACGGCAGAAGGGCCTCAATTCTCCACCCGCTCCGAATCCCTCCTCTACCGCTCCCTCCCCACCCAGCCTCCCATCTCCGTCATCAACATGTCCGCCGTGCCCGAGTGCAAACTCTTCCGCGAAGCCGAAATCGCATACGCCCTCGTCTGCATGAGCACCGACTACGACAGCTGGCACAGCACGAATGAGGGGGTGTCGGTCGAGATGGTCATGGGTCACATGGTGGCGAACGGGGCGAATGCGAAGAGGGCGGTGGCGGCTGTGTTGGAGGAGTTGAGTAAGGAGGATGTCAAGGGGGTGGTGGGGGAGAGGTGGACGATGGCGAGTAGAGGGGGCGTTATGGGGCTGCATAAGAGGGATGGGAGGGGGGCGGAGGCGGTGGGGAGGTTGAGGTGGTTGTTTGGGGAGAAGTGGGTTGATGGTGGCGAGTAAGTGGGCTACGTACGTACGTACGGCCCTGGCATGATGAACGGGATGCATGAGCAGCAAGCGATATAGAGCGTATAACATATGCATAGAGCTAAACCGGATCAGTCAAATACGACCTTCTTCCCCTGAAACGGCACCGCCTTCTTCTGTTCCTTGGCCTTCCTCGCCGCCTCCCATGATGGATGCAAAGGGCCTTCAGCAGCAGCAGCCGCAGCAGATGGCTTTGCTTTCCTGGCCACGACCGGATCGCTGTTAGCACCCGTACTCTTAGCGAACCTCCCACCACCCCTGCTACCTCCCCTCCCAGCAGCATCTAACCCCCTTCCAAACCCACCCCTCCCTCTCCCCCTCTTTCCCCTCTCATCCAACCCCTGCGCACCCTTTCTGGCATCCCAACCCTGATCCCTATCCTGCGCCTGTTTCTTCACATGATTGGCGTTCTTGCCGAACTTTTTTTCCCATAATGCTCGTCGTGCCTGCTGGCCCATTCTGTTCTTGCGTACTTCTATGTTGGCGGCGGAGGAGTCGTTGTCGGAGGAGGCGGAGTCGCTGCCGGACCAGTAGCCACCGAGGGAGAGGGAAGGGAGGAAAGTTGTTGAGATTGGAGGGGCGGTGGCGGGTCTGGCGTGTTTGGGTTTGAGAGGCGGTTTGATGGCTGTGGGGTGTTCGTCTTCTGGGGCGTCGTCGTCTTCGTCCGAAGAGTCTTCCGCTTCTGTTGGATCCTCTTCCTCTGTGATACTCATGTCGTCCAATTTGTCGCGATCGTGGTCCTGGTTTTCAACATCTTCCTCGCCCAACTCCTCGTCCGATGATCCGGCAAGTCGTGAAGTGTACATATCGTAGTCGACATCCTTCTTACTATTATCCTGAAAACCATGGTCTTCTTCTATTTCCAAGCTCTCGGGAGAGGAGAAGCCACTCCACTCGTCCTCATTTTGAGCACCGGTAATTGACAGAATCGATCCCTCTCTTTTCGGGACCGCAGGCCCATTCGTATCATTAGCCTGAGAGCCATTCACGTAATCCTTGGCCCGAAGTCGTTTCTTGCTATCTGGCCCGAGCTCTTCAATACCGAGCACAGCTCGAATGCCTTTCAGCGCCTCCGTCATAGCAGCCTGCACAGGGCCTGAATTGAACAATCTCGCCTGCACATTGGCACTAGCCGTCTCTTGCGGCTTCTTCGAGTTGTCGATCGTAACTTGCACATGGTGTGGGAACGCAGGCGCAGAGGCTATCGACTTGATCTTCAGCAACGATTTGTAAAGATGTATTTCCGCCGTAGAAACCAAATCCAGGTTCTTCAAAGCAGCCACCTCGGCTTCCAAGCGCGCTGTGTCTGTGGCATTGCCCTCTGTTTTGGCGGTCTTCTGCCGCCGTCCCAGCTTCTGACGCTCGAATCCTCGGGCTACTTTTAGTGATCGAAAGAGTGACCTTTTGCTCTGGTCGAGCAGACCGTCGAGTTGCAGTCGCTGTAGACGCAGCGCTTTGGCTGTTGTGCCACTGTTGCTGACTTCGGAGCTGCTGATCTCGTCGTGTTTGCGTTTTGACATTGTCGAGAGAGGAATGTGGGAAGCTGGAGTGAGGGAGGGGACCTCGTATTTCGTATCCGAGGTTGCAGGGTTGGTGGCTTCAGCCCTACAAAGTATTGATTTTTGGCGGCCTTCCTCCAGGTCTAGAGTATCTCTTATTGGTTTCGCGGTGTGGCTTCAGTACTTTGTTTGTGATAAGACTCTGAAAGTCGAACGTTGAAGTTCTGTATCTGTTTCGTTTGTAAATGTGGGTATGCAGTGATGTCTCGTCTCATCAACGCAACAAAGGCTGCACTTGTGTTCCTCTCCGCAGCTGGTTATTATGCCACTTGGTATATCCTTCTCAATAATGGCACTACTGACTACATGGCTCACCTCCGAGACGTCGGTCCTCGACTGCTGCCAGGGACGAAAGAGCCAATAAAGACTGTTTATACCGGTGTTCCTGCGATTGATCACCAGCTGACTGTTCTGGCGCTGTTCTTCTGGGAGAACGTCGACGGATCTAATCCGGCGGGCTCCTTGTTCTGCTTTCATTTCGCTACGCAGGTTGCTTGTGGATGGGGTCTGCTTATGATTGAAGGATTGAGGCATGGAAATAGATGGACTATTATATCCTTGTAGGTACAATGGGACCCAAGAACTACGACGATGCTGATAGGAAGAAGCATAGGGACATGGGGCATCTTTGTGCAGAACGCCGCATATGCTGTCGTCATACCTTACTGGTGCATCGCCTATCTCTCGACATCGCGTATAGTCTCTTCGAGACGTGTATCTGAATATCTGGTCGATGTGCCGAATCTTGCAGGTATCGCTATTTCGATGGTTTTAGGCTATGTCCTGCCGACCATTTTGATGTCGCTGCCTGCTCCTTCGATCATCGATTATGACCTCAAGCAGTGGCTCATGACTTTCTGGCAATTCTTTCCTGTTTGGGTCTCCGTGGTGCAGGGAGTTGTGCCATATCTGCTGCCAAAACCCGGAGAAGCAAGCAGAGTATCTGATATCCACATGTTGATGTCGATGAGGATTCTGTACGCCGGTCTTATCACCACGGCGGGGATCGGTCAAGCCTCTACCATGACTTTTTTGGCAACATCGAAGTTCTTCCCCGAGCTCTTCACTCCTGAGTTCGTCGGCGTATTCAATCCTTCTAATGTCTTCCTGCCAGCAACGATATCCCCGTCTACCAAGGTGCCGTCAATAGGAGCCGGAGCATTTCTCTTGCTTCAGTACGACCACCTCATTGGATCGACGTCCATGGCCCTGTGGAGCACAGTGCTGTTTGTTAATACGTACAGGAATGGGGCGACCTACCAAAGTGTGGGATTGATGATTGTTGGAGGCATTATAATGATGGCTTTGACGGGTCCATTGGGCTATGCAACGGCCTGTATTTGGGCGAGGGATGAGCTGATCATTGCTGAAGCTGAAGCTGATGGTAAGAAGATGCAATGACGGCTCTCCGCGGTAGGAAACGAGCAATGGTTTATGATGAAACGGTTGTGAGAGAGTCTGCACATGATATTGCCTTACTCGAGCGTATCGGGTCGGCCTTTCGGAAGCATTGCTCGAAGTTACCTCTATATACAAAACCCGCTTTGAAAGGGGGCCACGCCTCACAAACGGGCCAGAACGCGAATAAAAGCCGCTTCTTGGGATCACTTCTTTGGCTCTTCTTTCTTCTCCTCCGGTTTTGGAGTGGGTAGTTGAAACTACCAAGAGTATTAGCAACACGACGCAGTGTGCGTGCAGAGTGGTTAAGAGGTTTTAGTGTAGACGTACCTCTTCTGGCTTCCTGTCTTTGCCTGGGCCAACTTGCTATAGGTTCTGTCAGTGACCACTCCGGTGTCTCCGATGACAAGGTTATGCTTACCTCCCAGGCTTTTGAGTATTAGCATGGGCAACATAAGGTTTTGGCGTAGAGATCTTACCTGCTGTTCCTCCCTCAAAATTTCGGAATGCTTGCGTCAATTCCAATGGTTCCACTACAATCCTCTTTTTCTCCTCATCATATCGGATCTCTGTATAGCCCGTCAATGGGAAGTCTTTCCTCAATGGATGTCCGTCGAATCCATAATCAGTCATAATTCTCCGTAAATCCGGATGCCCCACAAAGAACACCCCAAACAGATCATACACCTCCCTCTCATACCAATTGGCTCCATCGTAAAGTGATGTTATGCTCGGCACCGGTGTAGCTTCATCAGCGTATGTCTTGACCCTAATCCTAGAATTGTGCCTGACACTGAGGAGGTTGTAGACAACCTCAAATCTATTGCTCCTTGTGGGGTAGTCCACAGCGGTTATGTCCGCCACCATCGTGTATTCGGCTGCGGTATGGTATTTGAGGAAGGATATGACGGGAATGACGCCGGTCGGCGGAATGTATATAGTAAGCTCGTCCTTCCATACGGAGAATTGCTGGATGTATTTAGGCATGCAAGAGAGAAGGTATTGGCCATAGGTGTGGAGGCTGGCTGCTTTCTCTTGGAACTTGTCGGTTGGGTTCACAACTGGCGCATGAAGCTTGCCCCCAGCTGTCAAAGTATATCAGCATAGCCTCAGTATTATTTCAGAGCATCTAACACTTACGAGGCCGCTGAGCATGGCGCAGATTTGGCAGCTCATCTTGATTAGCTACCTCCTTAGCTCGAATTGCGGTACATGTGAATTGACGGGTCTTGGATAGTTGTGGGGGTTGCTTAGCAAATATTCGAGCAACGTTTTTGACGGATGTTGCAGCACTCAGTCTCACGGCCATTGTTGTTGAACTGTCAACGGGTTGAGACAGGCTTGCAAACGGAGGTGGTACACTGGTGATGCGATTCTCATGCAGGTGACCCAATCGGGTTTAGCGCGTGGATTAGCACTAGCGCTGTATGCTGAAGTTGCAACTTTGACCTTGCCTCACTTCTTCTACCACTTCAACAATTTCACTCCCTTCATTGTTTACAGCACGGTGCTCAGGAGTCTTTCAATATTACTTTAATGACATCTTCATACCGGTTCACTTCTTTAATCCCTCATTCTCCACCTCACGCATTGCGCACCCCTTGCCCTGCCCTTTCACAATGGCAGGTCGTGTTCAACAAGACGCCTTCATTGATGACTCTGACGAATCATGGTTAGTCCTGCTTCTATATTCCGATCCACCAAGCTTGAGGACAATCAGCTGATGGTTCCACACCTAGTCCTCTGTGCGTGGAGGAGTTTGACCTGTCAGACAAAAATTTCAGGCCATGCCCATGCGGCTACCAAGTATGTTGTAGATTATTCATCTCCCCAACTTACAAACTCGGCTCCTGGAGCTACACATCGCGATCATTGTACTGACTGCCTTGTTACTCCAGGTATGCCAATTCTGCTACAACAACATCAAGAATCACATGAATGGCCTGTGCCCCGCATGTCGAAGACCTTATGATGACCAAAGCATCGAATGGAAGATTGTCAGTCCCGAAGAGTAGGCCTATTTCTATCTCTCAAACTGGTTCATCAACTGACCATCTCCTCTCCAGACAGAAGGCCGACATTGCGCTACAAGCCAGGAAGAAAGCCATGGCACGGAAGAAAGAAACTGAGCAGAGACAAGTGGAAACGCTCAACCGAAAAAACCTTGCAGGCATAAGAGTGGTCCAGAAAAACCTCGTATATGTCGTTGGCCTCAGCCAGAAAAGCAGCGAGGAAGAGTTTTTACGGACACTGAGAGGCTCTCAATACTTTGGGCAATATGGCAAGATCACGAAAATAGTTGTCAGCAAAGCAAAAGAGGGGCAGAACAACGCCAACAACAATAATAACTCAATTGGTGTCTACGTTACTTTCGAAAATAGAGAGGATGCTGCAAAGTGTATTGCTGCAGTGGACGGCTCACAGAATTCGGAACGAACGCTGAGGTGAGTGAATACCTTTACTGATTGTGGAGGCAACCTCAATTCTAACTCGAAATCAGAGCTCAATACGGCACGACCAAATACTGCTCTGCCTTCCTACGCAGTGAGACTTGTGGCAATCGAAACTGCACATTCCTTCACGAGACTGGCGAAGATAACGACAGTTTCAGCCGAGCGGATCTTTCATCCATGAACGCTCTGTCCACACAGCGACCAGCTCAGCAGGCGTCAGCAAGACCTAATCAACAACCACCGCAGGCACAGCCTCCACCTCAGCAAGCCCCACAGAGCATCTCCGCAGCGTCACAAGCAGTCGCTCGTGATGAAGCCATGAGTCGAAGTGATAGTGGTGACGGATCTGCTCTTCCTTCATCGGCGAGCTGGGCTGCGAAGAATGCGCAGAATGAGAGCACCAGATCAAGCAAGCCTGCGAGCGTGGCTGCTTCCAGTCCAGTCATCACAAATCCAAGCGTCCCGGTGCAATCTGCAGAGACACGACAAGTCCCGTCCGAGCCTCCGCCTCCTGATCCGATTTCGAACAATCTACCCCAAACGCTTACCGTGCGGCCTGCTCCTCTTCGGCCAACTTACACCCTGGAGCCTGCGATGAAGACCTTGGTGAATTCCTCGTTCAAGTTCACTTTCGACCGTTCAATCTACAGTGAGGATGACCTCAAGGAGATTGATGCTTACCCTCCATTATTCGATGACCATGGAGGACTCGTGCGCTACCGCATGGCAAAAGAACAAGAGCTGGAACGTCAAAAGCAAGAAGAGGAGCGGAACGTGATAGGCGCAATGTCTGCTACAGAAGACGAAGAGGCTCCAGCAAGTGGAAGCTTACAACTAGGAGGGGAGCCAGAGACTCAAGACGAGCCGAATGATAACTCTGGACGTATCAGTGCTCAGCAACGAAGTGTGATACAGCCGCCTTTTGGATCTTCAAGCAGCTTCTCTTTTGGAGGAACCAACTTTCCAGGCAGTAACGCAGCCAGCCTTGCTCGGACCCTTACCCCTCAACAGCAGCATCAGCTTTCTCTATTACGCTCACAAAGCCGCAATCAGCAGAGCCCCGTAAACAACGGCCAGTATCAACCAGGGTATACCGGCAACACTAGTCTACACCATCATCAACAATCCAACCCTTTCCAGCTCCAAAATCAAGCTTTCAATACTGCGCAAGGGCACGGAAGACAAGCCTCGCGTTACACATTCGCAAACGACTCCGCATCAGCATCCACAACAGTGAAACCAGCAGCAAATCCCCAGCTGATGGCCCAACAAGCTGCCATGATGCCTGGAAACCAGAATAAGCACTTTCAAAACCAGCAACTCCAATCAAATGTTCACGGCAACCATTTCTATAGCGGTGTTCAAGGTCCACCTCCAGGCCTCAAATCTAGCGGCACACCACCCATCAGCGGAGGCGGAATGTTCGGCCAAGGACATGGCTTTGCTAGTGCCATGGGCGGCAGTGCTGGTTTCGGCGGCAACGTTGGCGGAAAGAACACCAACGACGACCTTATGCGTGAATTGCTACGGACTCGGAACGGAAGTATCAATGGACAAGGGTCTGACATTGGAAAGCGTGAGTTCAAACTTCCTTTTACTCAACAGCCCATGACCTCCGATGCCCCTGCCTCAAGCCTTCTTAGCTCGCTGTATGGGTCTCAAATTGGTGGCCATTACGGTTATCAAGACCATCACCTCCAAAAGCAGAAGAAGAAGGGGAAGAAGCACAGACATGCTAACACTTCCTCCTCTGGGGGAGGTGGTATAGTTGATCTTGCGGACCCGAGTATCTTACAAGCTAGAATGCACCACGGCGCTGCAGGGCAGGGGCAATTTGGCGCCCAAGGTCAAGGTGGGTACAATCCGAACAGCATGCTATACGGAGGAGGCTACGGCGGCCGGTGGCAACTGTGATCAAGGTCTTTATTTTCGACCCGAGGTCCTTTTCTGGACTTTTATTCATTGATGATGGCGCAATCTTCCTTTCGTGGTCATTTAGCGAGCATGGGCCCGAAGACAAAAGAAAGAGGAGATCATGGCGTCTCGGGAATTGCATCAAAGCCACTGGCATGATCTGGGAGAGCATCTACCAGGGACCCGCTCTTTCCTTTCAAGGCATCACAGCAGGGCTGCGGTTGGTTACATGATACCACTACACCGTCATTCTCATCGTGGCCGGCGTCATGTATGTAAGCATCCCTTCCTTGACCTGATATCAGGCAGGAAAATATCAGTCTATTTTCTCACACAATCTTTGCCACTTAGAACCTTCCTTTTCCTAATGCCATGATGAGACCAGCGATCGCAGCCTGTGTGAATCGGCGTTATAATTCCTTTAAAGTACATAGAGCGTGGCTCGATAAGTGCTTGGGGCCTATGCTCGCTTTTGTGGGAGAACTTTGTCTTTTCAATCTGTCATTAACCATTATTCACTCATCAATCTGAAGATATTTTGCTGACTGTTGTCTGTCTAGACTCATCAAACTTTTCCTCTCGGCAGGACTCAATTCAACCAATCAATCGTCCGCTCACGGACTCCTCATTCACTACACCTATAGTAACTTCTTTGTCAAGCAAGCCTGCCGTTAAGATCACTCCAACCCATACGCCAGTCAATCCAGGACTATCACTACCTCAAGACTTCCCGCCCTTGGTTGCTCCGCAACCTCCACCCCCCGCACCTCCTCGCCCTCAACGCAAAGTCACAACCAGTGCAGCTATCAAGCCAGTCATCCCTGTTCTTCCAAATCCTTCTTCCAAACCCACATCCATGCAAAAAGACCCGCAACAGAGCGAGCAAGCCGGCAGTACCGAGCCCGGTATTCATTCAGTGCCCGAAGCCAGTGTGAAATCCAAGCCAAAGGAAGACGCAGCATCCTTGGGCATGCCCGAGGCCAAGACTGCACCGAAACCAAGTAAAACCTCGCCTGCTAACTCTTCCAAGCCCGCGGACAAGAAATCGCGGCCTAGCAAGCTCGATATTGCTGCAGCCAAGGATGCAACGAAGAAGAATAAAAATGCGACAGACATTGCAGGAGCAGTAAGCGGCCCCGGGCCTTCTCAGCCCCCTACTCCTGCCACAGCTGTTTCACAGGCATCTGCTTCATCTGCGACGCGCCCAAACCAATTTCGACCAACCCGTGTACCTCCTTTGCCAAAGGCCGAAACACGACCAGCTTCGCCTGCAATGGCTCCTACGATTACGAGTAAGCAGCCATCGCGACGGCCCAGTATCACTTCCATCGACCGGCCTGGGACACCAGCGAGCGAGAAGTTCTGGGACAACATGTCGTTTGCCTCTACAACATTGTCTCGAGCTAATTCGCCTCCTCCAAGTAAGGTCGGATCAGCACCTGTGAGGCAAGTCACAAAAAGTCAGCAAAAGAAAGAGAGACAAGCACGTGCAAAGCAGGCGGAAGAAGCCTCCAAAGTCGAGGAGATTCCTGCCAAGGTTGAGGAGCCAATGCAGGCACCTATTATTGGAAGAAAGAAGAAGGCAAAGAAAGAAAAGACGCAGGGTAGTGCAGACTCTACGCCTACCGTCACACGGCCGACATCTCCTGTGCCCAAAGAAGAAGAAGCAGTGGAGGAAAAAGCGGAGCCGGTCACACCAATTAGAGAGGGCAAGAAGACAGCCTCCAAGATTGCAGCAGACATGAAAGAGCCGGACACACCGTCAAGTCCCGCCACTCCGGCTTCAAATGATCCGCAAAAAGCCTCACTCACAGCTGCATCAATCTTTGCCAGTCTATTGAAATCCGGTGAGCTCAGTTCCACCGTGTCCGAGCTTTTCAAGAGTGTCCCCGGACTCAATTACCGTTTCGAAGGCCTTGAGCTAGATCTAGCTGTTGCGGATGATTCAATGGTTTCGGACAGCCAGATGCACTCTCTGGACCAAGGCGAGGCAATCACTATCCAAAAAAGCCCAACCAACCATGTGGTCGTGCTCCCGGACCGCAGCGCTCTGCGTGGCTTGACTGCCGCCCAAGCAGCGCGCTATCTTGAATTGAGAAAGCAAGCTTTGGCGAACGGTGATGTACCGTCTAATCAAGCTCTCGCCGGTCTCGTCCCTGTTCTTCCACAAGTTAGTCTGCCTGTTGCACGGTTTACATCTCGGGCTTCTTCGGAAGACCAGAAGCTGCCCAACCATTTTGCTGCTCCTGCGCCAGGACCTACACCTCTTTCTGCGCAAATGCAGAAGTATGGCGCTATGGAGGGGTCTAGAGATGAGAGTTTCCTGAAGAGAATTCCAAGCGTTAGCGTTGAGAGGGCTGAGCAGGATTTGTCGCTTAGTAGGAAGGAAACGGAGGTTGTGGAGAAGAAGCTGAACGCGTTGTTGAAGAAAAACAGAAGGTTATTGTTTGGGAGTGCTCACTAGGAGCCAAGCATGTTGATATGTAAGGCTTCGTGCGAAGCTTTTGAAGAGATGGAAAATGAGCCCGATAAGGGAAATATAACACTGTACCGCAATTTGGACTGGGCTGAAAGGAAACCGACGTTTCTTGCGAATGGTATCAGCATTGGTAGGCTGATAGGAGCTCGGCTACAAAGAGCTTGGATCTTCAGTGGCCGTAAAGCCTGTTTTGAGAAGGAACGTCTTGTGATTGGTATCATTCAGCATCGATGGACATGATAGGAAGGAGCTTGGCTGTTGAGCTCGGCGTACAAAGCGCTTGTATTGTCGGGTGCTGAGCCCTAGGTGTATTTGTATTTCTAGCAAGCATTAGGTAGACAGTTCGCTTGATGCGACAGGAAGCAAGCACTTCGCTTTTTGTGTATCTGTGCTGATTGATGTTTATCTTACCGTGATTGGAGAATGGACAGGGAGAAAGAGCGTGCTGCTGCTTCTTTTCTAACAGATTTCCCGTTACGAGTAGAGGATTCAACTACGCCGCTCGTGTAGAGCAGCAGACGGTCTCCAGAGTAGCCTGCAACTCGTCCCGTCACACATTCCCTGAACGGAGAGATTGTTGTCTTCAGAGGAAGTGGAAAGTGGAGGGCAAGATGATTCGGTAACTGGTATTCTCCCAGATAGATAGGCAGTTAGACGGTATGTCACTTCTTCAAGCGTAGCTTAATGGTAGATGGATTTCTATGGTGGAACGAAATGAGAAAGACTTGCGGTTTTCATATAACCTCCCACCATCCCCTCCTGCATCTAATGTAAATCCTAGATCCTCAGATATCCCATGCAGCTTCGTCACTGGCAAGGACCTTTTGGTCAGATCGCACTCCCACGAATCTGCCTCGAATACGCTTCCATGTAGAACCATGTTTGGAAAGCTTGCCCTCAAGAGACGCATCGGCGACTGGGACTGGAAAACCGATCCCCCATGGCTCAAGTCTAGTCGGGCTTCTGCCGGTCCCAAGAGGTGCTCAAAATTACTTTCTAAGAGAGCTGCACGACGCTGGTAATATCGGAGCATCATCAACGGCCTAACATTGGTGTTTCCCAGGCCTTCGACAAAAGTCGAACCAAAGCTTTGCCTCGCTCTCATTTTCCGCACCCCCTCTTCACCGCCGCGGTATTCAGAGCGCACGACGTCGCCGCAGCGTCGTTTGTATCCTTCGCGTCTTTGTCTACGACGGGTGTCCAGTACCGTCGGCCCTTTTTGAGGACGTTGGAAGATAGAGGAATGAGACAGGACGCACTGGACGGCGGAGAGGAAGAACCGACGGAGAAGGTGACGGCGATGGGAGCTGCAGCTGGGGTGTTGATGGCACGCTTCACCACCAAGTCTGACTCTTGGCCTCAACTGAAGAGCGTCGGAAGTCGCTTTTCTTCCGCGAGGATAATCCCCATGGGCCTCGGCACCATCTGCATGCGCGCCATGGGCTTCAGTACCACTGGAAGATTCATCCAACGTGGAGGGATTTTTAGAGCTAAACGGTCACCAGAAGCTGCGCAGTAACATGCGCGCTATAAGATGCTCGGTTAAATCGTGGAGTATATCTAATGATGCACCCAGGCAACTCTGCTAGAATAAGGTAATTTCATACCGAGAGGTGTCCAGTCCGGAAACTGTCAAGGTTCCTATTTGGCACGCGACCCAGCAAGATCCTTGAGTAGGTTTCAGTTATCACTTTTCATTGTGTATTTCTTGGAGCAGTTAGGCGTTCGTCGGGAAGAACACTGACCTGGTCTGTTACGCTTGTGCCGCAGAGACTCGGGAATGGAGGCAAGGAGCGGTGGCTGGGATACGAAAGGGTTGTATCGATGAGAGTTTGACTAGCTACCATACTATCAATGAACTGCGCGACTTGTCTCTCCAGTCGCAATAATGTAGACCGTATAGCCAGGGAACATTGCAGATGCGAGCCATTCTCAGCGAGGATTATTACCCATCCCTGTCATCGAGCTCCTATTCAGCACATTTCCTGGGAGATTTTCGTCAAGGCCCATACCCCACCATGTACCCTACTCAATGCACGTGATGAGTGCGTCAGACAATAAAACATCGGCCAAATCTATCAATGCTTTCGCCTCCCTCTCGGCTCTGAAGATCGGGCTTGGCGAGAAGCTATTAGATCAACTTGTCGTTGGCGCTGTTTTTCTCGCGTCCTAGACACAGCACAACTTCCTTCGCGTCCTCTGATAATGGCTTCCAACGGATCCTCTGCACGGCAAATGCCGTATCTTCCAAGTGCCCTTGGGCATGAGACAGTACTACCGCGTCGCATGTCTCCTTTAGGGCTGCCAGTAACGACCTATGGTCGTCGTAGTCTGCGAGGTACGCACGGTGTTCCGCAAGCACGCTGTTGTAGTCCTGGACACACTCGCTCGTGGATTTGCAGCTTCGACGGACGAGATCGAATGTAGCGTCAGAGGTGTAGCATAGTCGAACTCGTAGACTAATGTGCTCCGTGTTCTCGTAGCGTTCCAATATATCATGCTCGATTGTGGGCCATTCAACAGGGAATTCTATGATACGATCGTATGGCTCATACTCGATTATCCTATATGCAATAGCGATGTCCTTGACATGCGAATAGAAATGTTCAATCAACTCAGTAGTGATGTGGTTCGGCTCATTTAAGCAAGCCCAGAGTGGGGGATGGTCCATGTTCTCACACTCCAGGCACTTCATATGAACCGTATTCTTGGAGTAGAGTATGGGTAGCGTCTCGGTGTAGACCTGCTTGCTTGTCCTGAGTATCTCTGCGTAGACGAGGTTGGCGTAGTATGTGAAGCTGGTGCGGTGCGCTGGGCAGAAGTCGCATGTGGGGCGATATAGGTCGATGTTTTGGACCATCAGCTCGTTGTAGACCAGAAGGCGAATCTCGACAGGTAGCTCTATGAACCGGTGAAAAGTGCTAGACAGGGTTGTCAGCCCCGTCTGTTCTTGGAGTTGCATTAGAGTTTTCAGGACAATGAGATCTGTCACAGTCGGTTAATTCGGCCAGAACTTGTTGCGCTTGAAGTTCGGGAGCCCATACTGTTCAATGTCAATTTTGCTTTATTGGTCGTGACTGCTGATGGTACACTCGAAGAGTTGTTGGGACCTCACGGTCGACAAGCCACTCGTGACCGCGAGAAGATTCGTATCACTGACAGGAGAGTCTTGTTGTGGAGATGTGGAAGCGTGAGTGATGTTGGGAGGTATGTGACTAAGTCGGATGTAAGGCGTTGATGAGGGTTTGTATGAAGCTGTTTGTTATTCTGGTTTATTATCGAGCTTGTATCACCACGCCCGAAGTAGAGCGAGTGCGGGTAGTGCTTGGAACAGCTCAACTGTTAGAGTGGTTGAATTGATTAGGAAGAGGTCAATTTTTAGACTTGTAAGCTTGGGCAGGCTTCTTCACATCATCGATATGGTTGAAACTTGTTGATCGACGAGCAGGCAGGAACGATGCAGTTGTGGCGTGTTACAATTAAAGAATACTGGAAAGATCAATGCGGAAACGTGCAGCTCGGGGGGGCGTGGCCGGTCACCACTCACTTTGCTCAAGACGGACACCTCTAGCGCCAAGTACTGCCCCCAATTTCATCAACCCTGATCGCCAGTCTTTTCAAAGAATCATCCTTTAGTCTGAAATGCATCCAAGGTGGATACTAGTACTGTTTTGTTTCATGGACTTGGGTCCCGCAGCAAGCAGATAATCATCAATTCAGCTGACCAATTTCACACCAAAGACGCAGTCCTTCATCTCCTCTTGCATATTGGAGGCAATGACTGCATCACATATAGCCTCTCTATTGCCTAAGCCTTCTCTAGCTTTTGCTCGCAGACACAGACGTGATGCTGAATTCACTAGAATTCTTTTATATTTCTGCATACGTTCTGCAATCGAGTAGTTCGCCAGAAGACATACAGAAGGCCAGTATTGGCAGCTATCTCAGTGGGATCTGTATCTTACCATTACCTGCTCTACGCCTAGCAAATTCCGTAGGATGTCACTCTCCACTGGTTGCCACTGCTGGCACCCTGGGTCGGGAAATCGGCAAGTAATGTGTGTTAAACTCAGTCGAGATAAATGGATATTTCCTCCCATGCGGCTTGCCGGCGTCACTTAGAGATGTGATAATATTAGTCACCGCCACCCAAGGACTATGGGCATGGCGATTTGCAAGCGGCCCAACACTTGAGCCCCCGTCGCCCGCGCGTGCCATAGTCTCAGGAGAATCATTGCGATGTCTTGAACATCAGTTTAACGAAATACCCGGATGGTCCGTAGCAGAAGAATCGAAACACGTTCTTCGAGTGAATGATGAGTAATGCTAAGTTGTGAACAGCCTTGTTTGTGAACAGTAGTGATGGGCGCAGACAATCTCTACCATAGGTATAATTTTTTGAATCTGCACAACACTTGCACGTGCAGATCTTGCGAGGCAGTTCGTGAGACTGGACGAGAAGCTCGTTATAGATATGGAAGCGAATCTCAAGGGGTAGACTGAGAAAAAACGAAATCCAGCGTCCCGGTTTCGGCGTCAGGAAAGAGGACAAGTAGACTGCAGTGGTAACTAAGAAATGATTGGCATTTGAATTGATACCCGTGGTGTGCAACTCTTGATTGCAAATTGGTGAAGCAAAAGGTGATGGGCCAGCAAAGTGAGGCTGCAGGAATTTGCCAAGCCCAGGCTCTGACAGCCGAGGTTTAAGCGGGTCTGATGAATCGTATTCGTATATGCAGGGGCCGCTCAATCCTACTGAAGCGGTACGTTACTTCCGATCTTCCATACCTCAGCTACCTTGAGGATTTCAAGCCTGTCAATTAGTCGAAGCAGTTGCAGGTCGCAGTGTGCATGCTTGAGAGCAGATTCCAAATCACGTGCTTTGAGCTTTGAAGGGTAGCACTAAGAAACGCGGAAAGGTTACAGGTTTCTTCTAGAGCACACAGAAGAAATATTATGCGTCCGAAGTCAAAACTACCCACTCTCAAGAGCGTTTGATCTCGGAACCTTCGTTGCTGAAGAAGAGGCTCACATCAAATCCGCTCTAGGTTGAGTGACGTACTCAAAGTTGTACCGGAGAATAGTCCAATACCCACGCTTTGGAAAACTTGATGAAGGCAGATCCATCAGTAGCACAGAGGGACAAGGCTCCAGATATTTTCGAGGTGCTCCGCAGCGAGCAGCTCTTGAACTTCTTGGTGAAATCTCCGACCGCAAGAACTATCTACTTTGCGGTTCATCTTGGCCGTATGCATGTTGGAAAGAGGGTAGCTTACTGGAAGTCTGTCCGTCGACAAGAACGAAACGCGCTCCCGCTTTGCTAGGAATACGATCTGCTGCAGACTTGCTCCGAAACGTTGACTAGGACCTGGGGGACAAGTCCATGGGGTTGTTGCTGCCATATATGAGATCATTGCGGAGACGTATAGAAGCGCTTCTTGAGGTGTTGGATGGTGCACCTGCCTAACAAGACTGGTCCGCGGTCAGGAAATCCTCTTTCTGACTTTGTATTGCAAGGTATAGCAACGTTCAGTAGCCAGAAACCTTTCTACCTGTACTCACATATTAGTAAGGAACTCCCAGCTCTATCTGCGTCTATGTTATCTTGAGCGAATACGTCTCAAGAAACGCTATCACCATGCCTCCCAACAGCCCCGTTTTTGCCCCCACCCTACCCTCACCAAGCCCCGGGACATAAGCCGCACCGTCCTTCAAACGCAAATCATGCTCCATCACTACATCACCACCTACTACCAAGCTGCCAATGACGTCCTTTTCTATAACGACGATCCACACATGAGCGGGCCAGACTTTATCGGTCGCTTCTCTGTTGTCACGCACTGGTCTATAGCTCGCCAAAATCATCTCACATATGGCATGGAAGTGAATGCGCTGAAAGGGATTTGAGAGTTTCCGTATCGGCGCGGTAGGTTTGTGGGTGCAGGTTCTTTTTGTCATGGATAGGGGTTTGGTGACGGTGGGTCATGGAAGGGTAGTGAAAGACAGGCACAGGCAGAGTTCGAGGATTGTTACGGAGGGTGAGAGGTACAGTCCCTATGTTTTTGCTTTGTGGCCAGGGAGCTTAGTCCTACTAACATTAGACTATTTCCATCCACGATAATGCTGTCGATGAGACCTCTCGGTAGACCCACTTGGGGTCAGTCACAATTCCGAACGCCCTTTGAGCTGGAGTTGAGATTTTGGGATATCAATTACTGCTGATCCTGCAAATTTTAAGATAGCCGGTTCCAGACACGGCACACCATCTCGCTCTTTGTTGAATCTACTCTGATCAAGTCACAGGGGTCTCAAGCGATAGAAAGTCTTCGACTTTTCGATGGTGGGTTCAGTCTACCCAGAGAATATGGGAAGGTAAGTTCTTTCATTTCAGTAAGCTCTGCTTTGCCCCCCATGTCTGTACGCGCGCCTTCGTTTTCCATACGCGACTGCCGCTCAGCTTTGGCATTTTCTCTTTAGGCGGCGTTGGCTGTACGTAGGCCAATGGAGCGGATGTTTGATGATGATGCCGCCATTAACACCACAAGCGCAATGCGCACTACACACTACACACTTAGCGCGTGAAGATACATTGCGAAAGCTTGCGCATTTAATGACTTCCAGACCTTTCTTAAGAACACCGCGCACGACAGTTTCCTTGATACCATCTCGTTCAAAGTTTCTGTCTCTCCGAGGCTACGAAGCCAACATAAAAGATTCAATCAGAATGAACCTGTTATCACTCTTTTCGGTTATCCTTCTCTCCCTCCTTGTTACAATAACTTCCACCCAATCCACCAATCTCACCACCCCCTCAAATACCGCCAACTTCGAATGTTTTCCTCTGCGCGTCTTCGCCCTTCGCGTCGGCCTTTTCCAGTGCGTAGGCTCCGAGTGAACAATCCCCTCAAACAGGCAATACTGACTGCAAAATCCGAATCCAGAAATTGCGCCGCAGCCATCCTCACCCTCCCCCAACTCACTGCGCCCGTATCCTTCTACCACGGTTACCGCGATGATATAGGTCGTCTCCCTACTACGAGGTCCCATGGCGACTGCATGGTGACAGTCGATCTGATCGAATCGAGCGAGTTCAGCACGTGGACTTCCATCGGCTTGGTCGCGACTCTGCTGATGAGTGCCTGTGCTGATATTTCGTTGAATAGAGTCTATACTGGAGGGTTTGCGAAGGCGGGCAACGGAAGGGGGATTGCGGTCACTTTGCAGAGATTTGAGGAAGGTCTAGGGGCGGGGAATGCTAGTGGTTTGCTTACTGAGTAGGGAAAAAGGGTGTATCAAGCAAGCTGACCAGGCTTAAAAATGCCATTTTCTCGGAGTCATTGCGCCTTGGTGTGAGTGATCCTCTTTGTCATGCCTTAACGAAACATTGCATACTTGAAGACTCTGAAGAGAAAATACCTCCCCACACAAACCAAGTCCATAAACCGCTTGTAAGCAAGAAAGATGAATTCACAGAAAAGACGGGAAGAAATGTCCGAATGGATTATGGGGACCGCAAAGACATCAGGAATCATCAGCGGTGACATCGACTTACATGATTCCTTCATCAATTCTTATGTAACGAAGGCCGTAGCAAAGCATCCCCTCCTTAACGGCGGCGACAACTCTGCCCTATACTTTGCCCTCAAATCCAGCACTGAAGAAGCAACGAGCTCCTGTACAACATTTAATCACACCCGCGCAGCTATGGAATGCTGCCTACGACTTTGATCCTCTCCCAAATCACCCTCTACAAGGCGGGACCCAGTTGCAGAAGCTTGTCTCTCTCTCTCCCTCTCTCCTTTTTCCTTTTTTGTTTTTATAGCTCTCGATTAAGTCCACTGGGAAAGCTAGACGGTACCACAAGGCTCAAGATCGAAACCGCATTCAGACCTCTTCTTGTCATGAACGTACCAGAGCGAGTCATGGCATTATGTGACCGAGAGATTTATGCTAGGGGAGGAAATATGTACAGTGGTAGCAGGTAGATACATGGCAGGTGCCAAGGCGCCAGTCAAGTGGCTCCTTGGCACACTCCTAACACTTCCAATGTCAGAGATCCCATATGATGGCATCAGCATAAGTCTTGCAGCTAGAGATCCACGCACTAGCATTTGTACAGATAGGCATCCCTCGGATCAAGCCAAGCGTTCGGAATTCTGTTCGACGAACAACGGCAAGCTCCGCAGCTTTGCAAGCTCTGGCTGGGTCATCAGAATGGAGGCACCCAATTCCTGGAGTAAGATTGGACGTTTTTCTTGCCGTTGATGTGGATTGTAGTAGGGGTCATCCATCGCTGGTTCGCACTCGCCTCGGAATGGCCGAACGGTGGCTAGCATTCGACGAGAGAGACTTCATTACTGGTATAATTGATGTGTTACTGGCCTATCATCTTCTCGAAGTCGCAAACTGCATTTCAGTCAATAAGACCGTACCTCTAGGAAGTTCGGACGGCGAGCCTGGTCCGGGGCACATGCGCGAATTGGCGCACGCGCTGAGGCTCCAGGGACGTGAATATTCCTTCTTAAATCTTGTCAGCTGGTGCGGATTATTACACCCTTGAAGAAGTCAATGTATTTACCCAAAACATGACTGACCATTTTTCCGTTGCGTCCGGCGCTGTGGGTGTTGTCTCGCTCGGCTTGACCGTCTGTCAAGGACTTCTGCAATACTACAGCTCGTGGAGGCATGCTCAGAAAGATGTCGACGCAATGTGCGCTTCATTGAAAGGACTTACCAAGACTTTCCGGCTAGTCAAAATTACGATAAAGGATCGTAAGTTCAATCAACCAGTCGTCGATCGTGTTACTGCAAGCATAGATCTGTGCGAGACTGGCGTTGATGAGCTCGATGCAAAGCTACTAAAGGTTAAAATGACTCCAGTCAAAGAGAATGGAGACCAGATTCAAGGGCAATTCCGTCGAGCACTCTATCCCTTTAGAGAGAGCACGCCCTTGAAGTTACGAGAGATGATTTCCGATCTTCGAGACAAGCTGAGTCTTGCTATCAGTACACTTCAACTGTGAGTTATCTTCATCCCAGAGCTCAAACCCTCTTCTACATATGTTCCCGACCAGATATTCGGAGGGTCGCTAACAACTTGGACCCTCAGTGATGTGTCAGCGATATCCTTGCAGAAGATAGATGCCATTGATGGGAATCTAGCATCTCTCATGGGTAGTTCCAGTACCCTTAGAGATGGAGTCGCCAAAGTACAACTCAGCCAGGCTGGTAAAGCTTCCAACCTACATTGATCAAGACTATCCCTAGTTTACACGTTTATCTCAAGAACATGACGAGCAATCAAGACGCCGAAGACAGCTTATCATTATTCAATGGTTATCGCCTTTGCATCTCGGAGACAAACAAAAAGACACTCTTAACAGACGGCAAAAAGCAACCGGGAATTAGCTACTATGTGACACCTGTTTCACGGACTGGTTGGGAGGAAAAACGAGAACGTTGTGGTGTCCAGATATGCGTGAGATTTTCCTGCCGATCTGCTTGCAGAATAAATACGACGCTAACAACAATGTCAAGCCGGCGCAGGTAAAACTGTCATCGTGTATGAGATCTGCCTGCGTATTCAACGTACGACATCATTGGCTAATTGCGGCACTCATAGATCTATTATCATCGATCATCTCCAGCAAACGATGAAGCCGTCTGATGTTGCAGTCGTGACGTTATGAATTTATCATACTTCTTTATTTCATATAGTTGGTTTTTACCAGGGAGATCCTTCATGGAGGGACATAGGAGCTCGTATGAAGAAGAACATACTGCTCGCTTATGCGGCGCAGAATTGGGGCAACCATGCGCGTAAAGCCCCGAGCCATAACACAATCCTCGATGAGCTCGTTCTCGAATTCCTCGGCCGTAGAGCCAATTTGGTATTCTCGACAGGAGTAATTCGCCATTTCTTGCTCGGCGTGGCTGCCCCGACGGACGGCACTGCTTTGAACGTTGCTGCTTTTTTTGGTTTGGAGAAGACGGTTCTGACGCTCCTGCGAGAAGGATACAACGTCAACGCAGAGGATTCCTGCGGATGGACGGCATTGCACGTAGCAGCTGGAACGGAGCATGAAAACATAGTGCAACTACTGCTGGAAAAGGATTAGATTTCGAGGCAAAAGGCAGACGTGGGGAAACTGAACTGCACTGCGCGGCTGACGCTGGACGTGAACTATCTGTGCGAAGGCTATCGAAATGGAGTTCGGAAATTACGTACGAGGGCGATACTGTTATCTTCATTACTCGAGACGCGGCCCGGAGAGGATACACCAAAGTCGTACAGATGTTGCTGTCACACACAGGCGATCTCAAAATCAAGAACGACTGCACCTTTGCTGGGCTACAGCAAGCCGCGGTGGTGGCCAAAGAAGCCGTAGTGAAGATGATACCTGAGGGATACGTTGACCCCGAAGTAAGATGTAGATACGCAGCGGCACTGTTGCGTAAGGCGGCTTCCAACCCTCACACGTCAGCGTTACAGCTATTGCTAGAACACGCCCACCTCGCTAAGGCTAGTGATAAATGTACAGGCATACAGAATGTGTTGTGGGCAGCTGCCTCGGTTAACAACGAAGCCGCGACACGGCTGCTATTAGATGCTGGCGCAGATCCCAATCACCAAGCTGACAAACGTAAGGATCCTGTTATGCATTGTTCAATTAGAAATCGTAGGCGGCGGTTCGGAAGCCTCGGAGTCGTGGAGATGCTCAAGATTCGCGAAGCCACCGTACAAACGCGTCTGGAACATGGCGATAGTACCGAAGTTCCAAGGAATACAACCCTCTATCATCATAGGGGGTGTACCCTCTTGATTGTAACGGCCTGCGAAGACTCCTGCCGGCGCATCTTGCAACTCCTGTTGGACAATGGGCCGAACAGGGAAGCGAATGACACAGAAGGAAAGACAGCGTTATATTACGCTGCCGGATTTGGCGCAATCGCTCACGTACGACTGCTACTGGAGAGGGGAGCCTACCCAACGTCTGTCAATCTTGCAACTATCGAACTAAGGCGCGAAGTAGATCAGGATGACTATGATGAAGGCATCCGCCTCATACGAGACGCACGGCTAGAAAAGAAAGCCGAGAGCTACACGGAATCAGAGATGGAAAACCAGGTTATGGAGGGTCAGACAGAAAGTACTGAAGTGGTCTACTCGCAGACCACCACTAATCTAGCTCAGGAAATGATGACTTCACTCTTTCTCTGACACTGCCGGAGCTCTCTCAAGAGATCAAGCTATGGCTTTTTGGAACAGGCGGAGGAGAGCAACGCCAACATTGACAGTTTAGGATCCATCTCGCATCGCTGACTCAAGCCCTCCGCCTTCAAAGCACTACGAGTTCTGTTTTCCACATTCAATGATCAGTCGCACATAAGTAATCGAATCGCACTTGCATCTCCACTGTCCACCTCCGTAACCATTGACCCATCAACTCAATCCCCTATGTCATCCTCCCAACCCACCCTCTCGCAACCCCAGCCAACTTCCTCTACCCCCGCCGGACCCTCCGCCCACTTCTTGCAAGGCACCGACCGCGAATGACGATGACGGCGGTTCCCAGGCTCATCGCTCCACACCCACTCACACCCAGACTCCAGGAACCTAACCCCGCAAGCCCAGACCGCAGGTCCCTTTCCGTCACGATTCGGGTGTTCCCAGAAGGTGGAGTCCCAACAATGACACAGAGGCTCCGACTCAATTCCATTCTTTGGCGACCGGTGCGAAGGCCGCAGACGGGTATGGGATAGGATTTTGCGACATGGGTGATGGCTGTAAAGGTCTTCGTTAATTCGGTGGGTTTGATTAGAGTCGAATGGTTGGATGAGGGTGTAGAGATGGCGGGTTGTGAATTTGAGACATAGGAGGGGGAGAGGGGCGAGGTTGGCGATGATGCATTCGTGGAGCTCGGTTGGGAGAGTGGAGAGGGTTGCTGCTGAAGCTATGGGGTGGGGAGCGAGAGGGTGGTGGAAGGTGAGATGTTTGTTGGATTGTGGAGTTGTTGGTATCTAAGTACCTTTGCCATGACGCTAAGCGAGGTGTTGAGGGTGAAATTTACCTTCTCGATGTCAGCACTAGGTGACTGGACTTAAGTCATAAAGTGCTGAACACGAACACCTGTCTGGCCTTCCAAGATCTCGTCACTTCCCACCATCTCGCGGTGTCACAGGAGTCTCGTGAGTTTCACGACGTTTATTCCTGGGTGAAGACGACAGATGTGTCAAAGGAAGCAAAGGATTACAACCCCCCAGTTCCTGCTACGATGACACCACAAGAAGAATTCCATATGATACCAGCGCGTAACAGTGAGCAGGTTCAGGACAGAGTCGGGATTATTCATTTCTATCAGGTGGACTTAAAATGCGCCTCAGGGCAAATGGTGAATAATAATCCTAGGAGATTTGTCCCCATACAACTGTACGCCGATTGCCAGACTTGAAGTGTTTACTCGACCGCTTACCGCTGGCTGAGCTATTCCAAGACTGATCGATTCCCGGGCTCCAACACCAAAGATGATGCGGGAGCCCAGGTCTATCTAGGCCGTGACACGACCAGTCTAACATATGCCAGCTCTTCTACAAGAGAGCCCGACTCTTGATATCAGGTATGTTCTTGGACACAGACATTTCATCTCCAACAGAAGCGATAACGGTTGACGGAGTTTTGTACTCCAGCTGAAATCCAGGCTCGGGCGCGTTCTTTTCTCTCGGAAGCATTTTGACTGCCAATCTGTCCTCGACTTCGCCGGACTTGGAGCCGAAGTACCGGTCGACCTCGAAGTGCCAGAGTATACTACCGCTGTGATCGCGGTCAATTCTGTCGTACACACTTTGAAAATGGCGTGAAAGCTCACCTGCAAAAACATTCAATGCCACGAATGTATCGCGAGACAAGATCATCGGTCTTTGGATCGAACTTTGGCACGCGTTTTCGGGCTTCGAAGTAGTGGTCGATGGCGGACTGGATCATGACGAATACAAATTGAATGGCCGACTGCACGTCAAGTTTCTTCTCTACAGCGACAACCGCGACAAGATTTTGGTAGTCCTTGATCAGAGGTTATTAGCGCCATCCATTGGTAAAATGCTTAAGGAAGTCAGAGGTATCTCTTACCCCAGCAGCTTGTTCTTTGTTGAAACTGTACATATCCTAAAGCTACAAGCATGAGTAGTCTCCCGGAACAATCACAGTTTACATTTGGGCCAACTCACGTTCGTCCATGACGCTATATCATTGATAGTGTCCCGGAGTTCTTGCACTGCTGCATGATAGAATGCTTCGTTGGGGACTTCTATCTCGAGAGTATACTCGACACCAGCAAGGGCTGGCTATCGAACAAGGCGTCGTTAGCCAGATCAAGAAACTTTTGGAGTACTCTAGTACCTCAACTGCTGAAGTCGCTCGCCGCATTGCAACAAATTCCTCCATGCTGGGAACTCGCCACTGCTCTCGATTGTGCACTAATTTCTCTGTGCCCCGGGCGTATCGACGGACAGCGTCTACAAAACGCTTTTGCATAGTCGGGGTCGATGTGGTACGGAAACGAGCCCAGAATCTGTAGTGAAACACTCAATGTCCGAAGTCCAAGCAAAGCGAGCCAATGGATTCACATACGCACGAAATTTTGCAACGACGGTCAACTCCGCCTGTGTCTCTGACGTTTCAGGAGTATCGAATATGGATAGAACTACATTGTTGATCGCCTTTGCACCACGTGCATCGTCCATGAGGTTGTCCTCTGGGACATCAAACAGATCATCCCATGCGAAGAGTATTACGATCCATTCGGAGATGGTGCTCAACCGCTCCTTGTCTCCAACTGGGTAGCACATGGCGGCGGTTAAGTAGAAGGTACGGACTTCATTCCATTTCCCTGGTGACATCCTCTTGAGACTAGTATCTGGTGGTCAATCTGGCATTTTGAGAGCATGGCACATTGTTCTCACCTTGCGAACCAGTCTTGCAAATAAGACGCGACTTGATCACCATCCGCATGTGTTCCAGTTGCCAATTGAGATATGGCCTGACGAACATCAGGTAGATATAGAGTGGCCATGACGAAATCCCTATGAACATCCAGCCACCCTTGTGTTCTGATTTCTATGTTAAAGTTAGCGAGCTCGTGCAGATGTGCTGTAGGAATTTTTGACTCGAGGGAAATTCTTGCTCTTTGTACAGAAACTCGCGATGGAGTGGCTAACACACATGAATGGCGTTGACGGGTGCGCCTCGATTGTCATGATTGGGCAAGTTGACTCAGCTCTACCAGTTTATTGAGACTGGTTGGATCTCGAACACAAGCCATCTCGATGCTGCATGTGTTTTGTTATGACATGTTGCGTCAACTTTAAAAGGGGCGGGTCTCAATAAGCATACTGCATTACCTGCTTATAAATCAGCCACGTCTTGTCTTATACGTGAAGCAGGGTCTTGATCATCCTACACTTGTAAGCACACCGCATTATCTGAGATCTAGCAACGCATTGTTATTCGTCGAAGGTACACTCTTAGGCTGTTTAGAATCAACTTTTATGCATAATGCTTCCTCATCATCAGCCACATTTTGTACGTGGAGCTGGGTATCAACAAGCGCACACTTGTAAGCAGACCTATTCACCATATCAAGCAGCATTGTTGACCTCTGGGCTCAACTTTGGCAGAATAGAAAGGGAGCGACACAGCCGTATTAGAGACGGATACTTTCGAGTCCTTGACCACAGCCCCGTCCGTGATGATGTCGATAGGTAGATTACCATGCCTGCCGTACCTGGAATTCTTGGCCCGCGCCGCTATTATTAGTATTCTCGCTGTTCTCATCATCGGCGTTAGAAGGGTCTATTTCCATCCGTTGAGCAAGTTTCCTGGACCTCGTATCGCAGCTTTGACAACTTGGTATGACTTTTATTTTGATGTAGTCAAAGGAGGAATTGGCATCAAACGTTGGCCGGACCTGCATAAACAATATGGTACGTCGAAGTTCGTTCACAACGACCACAATGCCGATTACCGGGTCCTTAGGTCCTATCATCAGAGTGGCCCCAGATCTTCTCCACGTCGATGATCCTGAGTTCTTCCGAGAGTGAGCCCTCAAGACACATGCTATCATACCTTTCCAGCGTTGCCTAATACCTTTCAAAAGGGTCCATGGCCCTCAAGGAAAATTTCTCAAGTCCGAATACTTCTATGGTACTGTAGGAGCGCCGAACGCTCTATTGAGCATTCGCGATCCCCATGAGCACAAGATAAGACGTGCGATCGTCAATCCTCTCTTCTCGCAAAAATCGGTCAACGCACTCGCAAGTATGGTGCAAGACAAACTTGAACAAGCCATGCACATTGTAAGAAGGCGTCATCTCGAAGGAAAACCAGTCGACATCCAGAGGTTGTATCGATGCATATCGGTATGATCCTAGTTGGATTGTTACATTTTTACAGATCCGAATCTGTATTCACGGTGCCTCCAGCTGACTGGAAGCAGGCGGATATCATCACAACCTCAATGTTTGGATACTCTCAGGATCTCATCCACTTCGGCGACGGTACTCACCCTCCCTTGTTGACCTGCCTGGACGGCTTCTTGTGTCATGTCCACCTCATGACACACTTTCCGTTCCTCGTAAATCTTGCCCAAAAGCTTCCAGCTATCATAAGCAAGAGGATACTCCCGGGATATGTTGAGTTCCGCAAAGTATGTCCAATCGAATTTCCCGCGACCGCAGATAAGGCCTAACAATCGCATTACGCAAGGACTGCGGTCATTGGATCGAAAAAATCATGGAGCGACGAGAGAAAGGGAGGTACACGGATGACAACGACCGAACCGTCATGTTCGACCTCTTACTTGAGTCCAATAGTGAAAAGGATTTCCAGCGTCTAAGTTTGGAGCAGCTCATCGATGAGGCTTTGATTTTTATCACCGCGGGAACTGACACAACAGCTTACGCACTCTCGTGTGCAACCTTTCGTATTTTGCACACGCCCGGGGTGTTGGCCAAGCTTCAAGAGGAGCTAGGGCGAGTGCCTCTAGGTAAGGAAGGAAGGTTTGAGTGGAAGTATGTTCAGAATCTGCCTTATATGGTAAGTGCATAGTTCTGGAATCTTAGTCTTTCGCGCCCATTAATGTCAGCACTTGGACATGTATAGACAGCCGTCGTCAAAGAAACCCTTCGCATCTCAACTCCTGCAATAGGCCCGTTACCTAGGGTCGTACCTCCTGAGGGCGCCCGAGTTCAAGGCAATCTCATCCCCGGTGGTGTAAGTCCATCTCTTTTCTTGGTGGTCGTCAAGCAAGCATTCACGTGAAACGGCACTGTTCCTCTTTGCAATGACTTGCATGGTGCATGACCGAGCATTGCAGAACCAGCAACATGGCAAAATTGGCTTGACGAAGAGCCTGGCAGAGTAAATGGCAGATTAAACTCTCGTTCGGTTCTCCGGATCTGGCCATCCTGATACTCGCTGTAAGTTTAATGATTACACTGACTCTAAAACTCGTTAGACAATCATCCTGAGCACTCTCATAACCATCCACGAAGATCCACACCTTTTCGCCTCACCACAGCAATTCCTCCCGGAGCGCTGGCTTGGCGACAAGGGCATGGAGCTGGAAAGATGGTTCGTGCCGTTTTCCAAAGGCTCGAGGCAATGCGTTGGTAAAAAGTATGTGCATTCCAAAACAGATCACAATAATGCAAGACCGACTGATGTGTCCTGCGTTTTCATCAGCCTTGCCTATATGGAGCTGTATCTCACGCTTGCGAATTTCTTCGGGAGGTTTGAGATGGAACTATTCGAGACTGATGAAAAGAGCATGGAATGGCTAGATCATGGAGCTGCTTTGAACGCATCGAGTGTCAAGGTCAGGGCAAAACCATTGGTTATTTAATGGAGCCGTCTTCTTGAGTTATCAATTTTATGGCCTACGGCACATCCAGAGTCTGAAGTTAAGTAGTATTGCATTGACCGATCGTGATGCCAGCAGGATCTGCCACACCTGCTGCACGTCGATGACAGCCGCCGAGGAGAAAGATTTTCCATCATATGCGAAACCTGGCCTCTTCATTGAGATGAAAGTCTCGTGTAGTCACTGACTATAAGTGGGTTCGTAGAATAAGTTGGTTTCTGGAGGAAGATAGGAAAACACTTCGGCCAAAAGGTCGTCTGGCAGCATGGAGATATAGCATTTGCCCAAAACCTCAAGTGGTAGTTTAGAAGATTGTGGCATGAGACAAAGCGTTCGTCGCGAATAAAGGCCAAGATGTGACTGTCTCAGAAGTTGTGGCATGTTCATAGATTACGGAGAAAATTTTACAACAAGGTGCTGACCGAGTTCAAGTAAGGCTGTGATGATACACAATGTGGGGCCTACTGCTCACCTCTTATGAAACCTTGCGGATCCGTTAGCATGGCATCCAGAAGAACAAGAGGATCTTAGACTCATACCTACTTCTACGCAGAGTCAGCACAGCGCCGATGCCACTGGCATGCTACCGTGCTACCTTAGTTTCGGAGACGCTAATGGATAAACTTCGGCTGTTGATGATTAGCCGAGGCGCAAATAATCTTGAACTTTTGGATGTGGTAATATCAACATCCCACCACCAAACTCGATTTTTACAGTCATCACCATGGACACCCAGAAGTTCTTAGGCCTCTTCGAGGAAATCCTTGCACGTGAGCTGGATGTTTTGCCCCTTCTGGTTCCTCTTATACTAATTCCAACCAGCGGATACAAATCGAGTGAAAAAAGCGACAGCGACTCTCCGCACCGATTACTATCCACTGCCTGAGTCACTCACAATTCTCCTGCAGTTGATACTCTCAGAGCAAGCTTCTCCACTTCGACAGCTAGCTGCCACCCAGGCCCGAACCCTCGTACCAAAGCATTGGAAAAGTTTGTCCGCCGCTCAAAAATCTCAGTTTCGCCAGCAACTTTTGCAGGGCACGCTACAAGAAGAGGAGCAGCTAGTCAGACATGCGGCCTCCCGAGTCATCACTGCTATTGCGAAGATAGATCTGGAGAATGGGGAGTGGCAGGATGTCTTCAATGTCTTGCTACGAGCTGCGAATAATCCCAGCGTACGGCAACGAGAAGTGGGAACCTACCTTCTCTTCACATGTCTCGAATCCATGGGGGAAACGCTTATGCATCGATTCCAAGATGTTTTGACCACCTTCTCCAAGACGATACGTAAGTGATCCCCCTTCTCATACCAAGCAACGAGCTGACAACCATTTAGGCGACCCGGAGAGCGCAGAAGTACGGATCAACACCATGCTGGCAATGAGCAGACTCGCAATAGTCTTGGACACAGATAACGATGAGCCATCACTCCGATTGCTGCAAGAAGCCATACCTCAAATGGTGGCTGTCCTCAAGCAGGCTGTCAGCGACGGTGATGAAGACCGCACTACCCAAGCATTCGAGGTCTTCCAAACCTTGCTCGGGTGCGATTCCTCGGTCCTCAACAAGCATTTTGGCGACCTTGTCCAGTTTATGATCAACCTCGCAGCACAGCGAACGCTGGATGAAGATGCCAGAACTCAAGCGCTGAGCTTCTTGATGCAGTGCATTAGGTACCGCAAATTGAAGATGCAGGCTCTGAAAGTTGGAGAACAGATCACACTGAAATGCCTGGAGATAGCATGCGAGCTTGGCGATGCATCTGCAGATGACGAGGACGTTACCACCCCACGGTCAGCGCTTGGACTACTCGACGAGATGGCCGCGAGTCTACCACCCAACCAGGTGGTAGTTCCCCTACTACACGCTCTCGGCCAATACGTCAACAGCCCGGACCCTGACAGGAGACAAGCTGGCATCATGGCATTGGGGATGTGCGTTGAGGGAGCTCCCGAATTCATTAACACTCAGTTGAAAGAGATTCTTCCCTTGATCATGCGATTGATTGACGACAGCGATCCAAGGGTGCGACGTGCGGCAATGGAAGGTGTGATGCGATTAGCCGAGGAGCTTCCAGAGGAACTTGGAAAAGAGCACAAGAATTTAATGCCGACCCTAGTCAAGCAGATGGACATTGCAATGAGAAACCTGAGCGGCCCAGACGACAAGCAAAATTTGGACATCATTAAGACAAGTGTCACTTGCATAGACGTTGTCGTTGAAGGCTTGGATTCGGAAGACATCAAACCGTATCTTTCCGAGCTAATGCTCCGGCTGAGCAAACTCTTCTCGAGTGACATCTTCAAAATTAAAATTGCAGCCATCTCAGCGACAGGCGCCATCGCTGCCTGCGCCAAAGAGGCATTTCTACCATATTTTGAACAGACGATGAACTCATTATCTGCATATGTTGAAATCAAAGACAGCGCAGAGGAACTCGACCTACGCTCTTCAACATGTGATGCCATGGCCAGCATGGCACTGGCTGTAGGGCCGAAGCCCTTTCAGCGTTATGTCCAGCCTCTCATGCAGGCAACAGACGAAGGGTTGCACCTTGATCATCCCCAGCTAAAAGAGACGAGCTTCCTCTTTTGGGCCATGATGGCGAAAGTCTACAAAGGCGAGTTCAAACCTTTCTTAGAAGGTGTACTGAAGGCGCTGTTCGAGAGCCTAGAGACCGAGGAGTCTGAGCTTGAAGTCGATCTTGGTGACGAAGCGGAAGATCTAGCAGGTAAAGAGATCACGATTGGTGGGAAGAAGATCAAAATATCTGCCTTGACCGAAGACGATATCATAGCGGCTGATGACATTGAAGACCTTGACGACGAAGCTGCAGCTGCCGGAAGCGACGACGATTGGGATGACTTGGATGTCGTGACCGCAGTTGCCCAGGAGAAGGAGGTCGCCGTCGAGGTGCTGGGAGACATATTGACTCACACGACTCAAAGCTATATCCCGTACATGGAGAAAACCATCGAAATTGTTGTTCCTTTGCTGGAGCATTCCTATGAAGGTGTCCAGAAAGCTGCCATCAGTACCCTGTTCCGAGCATACACTGCCGTCTGGGACCTTCAGCCAGATGCAATGAAGAACGACACTCCTGGTCTGCCCATGGATCCTGAACCCAGCCCACAGATCAAGAAGCTGGGAGAGATTATTATGACGGGTACTCTGGCCATATGGCAAGAAGAGGAGGACAGGTACGTTGAGACGTGCTTTTCGAATGTGATTTGTTTTTTCTTCCCATTGAAATGATGACACATTTGTCGTTAATCCCAGCTCACTCAGAGGCATCAATGCATTGCTGAGAAAACGAATTTGCTTCTGATCATTCCATATACACTGCACTCCCCCTGTCTCAGAGCTTGGTATTTTCAGCAAATCACTGACTTCCCTCAAACAGAGCCACTGTGACCGAAATCAATCGCTCCCTTGCCGCCACTCTCAAAGTCACAGGCCCCTCCTTGATCGCCGACACCGCCGCGCTCAAGAATGTCACCGAGATCCTAGTTGCAATTCTCACCAAAGCTCACGCTTGCCAGAAAGATTTCGGCGACGAAGAAGACCTGAGCTCTCTCGACGGGACATCCGAATCTGACTGGGTCACCATCGATACCGCTCTTGACGTCGTCATCGGCATTGCGAACGCCCTCGGCGAGACCTTTGGCCAGTTATGGAAGATCTTCGAGAAGCCCGTCCTGGCATTTGCCAGCGGCAGCGAAGGCTACGAGCGAAGCACCTCCGTGGGCACGATTGCTGAATGCATCAAGGCAATGGGCACCTCAGTCACTCCGTTTACTAGCCATTTGCTCAAGCTACTGCTCCACCGTATGAGCGACGAGGACAGCGAGGCCAAGTCCAACGCTGCCTATGCTATCGGCTTGCTGCAGGAGGGCTCGAAGAACGACAAGGAGATCCTGAAGGCTTTCCCCACTATCCTCAGCAAGCTAGAGCCCTTACTGCAGACGGATGAGGCCCGAGCCAAGGACAATGCGGCCGGGTGCGTGAGCCGTATGATCATGCGACATCCTTCGAACATGCCAGTGGAACAAGTCCTACCCGCACTCTTAGAAATCCTCCCACTGAAAAACGACTTCGACGAGAACGTACCTGTCTACGACATGGTCGTCAAGCTCTGTAAGCCACCCACACCCCTTCCTCTTTCCTATCACCCCACTCCTCCCCGTAGCAAGCCTGAATAAAACACTGACACGTCTTCCAACAGACCAAGAATCCAACTCAACAATGATCTCCCTAACCCCAACCCTCCTCCCCATCCTCGCCGAAGTCATGGCGCCCAAACCGCCGGGCCAGCTCAAAGACGCCACGCGCGAGAAACTGACCGAGCTGGTCAAATTCCTCGCTACGAAGCAGCCGGCGGAAGTGAGGAAGTATGAGAGTCTTGCTGCTTTGGTGTAGAGAGGGCGGTGGAGGGATGGGATGTGAAGTGCGGTAGGTCGTTGGATGTAAATCTGCTTGGGATAGGTGACGTGATTGGTGGTGCCTGGATATGAAATGGGCGATGGGTCGATGGAATGAGATGAGATGGATGAGCTATGAGAGCCATGATGATGAGGGTTTTCTTCTCGAATGTGTCGAACGATGCATATAGACACCGTGCTTTCTTGTAGATAGACTTCAGCAGATGGAATGATTATGGACTTTTACAATGTGTATCGACTCCCTCTTCACATTTCGACATGAGAGCAATAATTCGAAGCCGCGAATCGTAGGACGTTGTATTCACATACAAAATGATCTATATGTCAAAACCTCTGTATATATACCTTCAATCAGCATAGCCCATCACCATCATCAGCCATCCACCCACCCACCCTCCTTTTCCCCCCCAAGCCTAAAAACAACACTGCCCCCCATCCACCACCAAATCCGCCCCGTTCACATACCCCCCCGCCTGCGAGCACAGCAACACCACCACCCCCGTCAACTCCTCCGGCACGCCCATCCTGCCCATCGGGTTCCGCTCCCCCCACGTCCTCCGCGCCTCCTCCAGTCCAGACCCCTCATTCAAGACCGTATCCATGTACCCCGGGCTCACGCTGTTGACGCGGATGCCGTGCACGGCCCACTCGGCCGCGAGGGAGTACTTCAGGGACAGCAGGGCCGCTTTGGAGGCGTTGTACGCGGCCTGGGGTTGCGGGTAGTTGGTTCGGTGGGCGGAGATGGAGGCGAGGAAGAGGATGCTGCCGCCGGTGTTTTGGGCGATCATTTGGCTGGGTCCGAGGTGAGCTGGGAGCTGGGGTGGAGAAGGGTGAAGAATGAGTGAAGGGGGGGGGGTTACCGAGCAGCAGCTTGCGCGGAGAGAAAGGAGCCGGTGGTGTTGATTTCCAGTCTTGATTTCCACTCCGAGGGCGCCATGTCGATCGCGTGCGTGCATCCCACGACGCCGGCGAAACAGCATAGTATATCCACGCTTCCCAGCTCCGAAACCGTGAGCTTGACGGCCGACCCCAATTGTTCTGCGTTCGTGGCATCCACTTTGATCGACAACACCCTCGCGTTTGGGAAGTCTGCCTTCAGCGCCTGGATTTCCTGGGCCGATTTCGAGTGATCCAGGTCAAATAGCGCCAGACCGGAGAGGCCGTGTTCGAGTAAAGCACGAGCGTTCACGAGGGCGAGGGTTCCGGCGCCTCCTGTGACTGTTGCTCACCCGATTGCAATATTAGCGGTGAGGGGACTTTGGGAAGAGTTCGGGGGGTTAGGGACAGTACCCTCGAGACATGTGTCGACGTACAGATGGCGTTGCCTTCGACGGCGAAGCGTTTGATTGCTCGGCCTTCGGAGGTGAGGTAGTGGGGCATTGGCGGCGGAGGACCGGTCATTGAGGAGGTGTCGCCGGTTGAGAGGGTCATGTGGGGGATGGAGCGAGCGCGGAGGTCATCTTGGGTGGTGTTTGATGGTGAGGGCATTGTATGTGTTGGCGAAAGGTTGGTGGAGGGAGCCGCCTTTTGTAAATATGATAGCTGTACGTGAGTGGTAGGGGTATATATTTTGTACAGAGAGCAATGGCAAAGATATATACGGCATCGAAGGAGTGGAGAGTGGAGTGGCTTTCAGTGAGGACGCCGAAGAAGAGGCAACTTTGCCGAGATCTGATATTGGCATTCTCTACTGAGAAAAAGTGGCAGCGGTGACTACTTACACACCCTCCAACTGCATATCAAGGGCCCAATTAGGGAGCTGCCACTTGCATCAAAGGAACATTCACTCATACTGTTTCGCAGCATGATGCCCTGGATTGTGCACATTCGGAAAGAGATTGTATGAGGCTGCCAATGTGTCTAAATGTGTGCTCAAGATCCATGTCCTTGACCCGATTCTGTGCTAAGAGTGCTGAGAAGTTGGAATCATAAGCCGCCATTGCAATAATCATGCTTTTCCGTCCTGCTTTTGTGAGCCATGAAAAGACCGCTGATTAGAGCAATCCGAGAGCCTCCCATCAAGCTATTCATGCTTTTTGTTCCTGCATCTGAGAGCTATTTTCGCCATCTTTCAAGCCTGTAACAAAGGAAATCACCCGGTAGGTCGTGCTGATGTGAAGCTCTAATGCCCATATGTCAAGCCTGCAACAAAGGAAATCACCCCATGGAACGTCTAGTCTCAAGCTCTCATCCCTTTCCATCAAGCCTGCAACAGAGGAAGTCATCCATGGAACATGCTGATTTGAAGCGCGTCTGCCCATCTGTCGTGCCTAGAACAAATAGGATTTTCCGATGGACTGTGGTGTCAGGCGAGTTAATTCCCACCGACTTACTCTTCATCAGACAGATTAGTATGTCCTTCGTCCACCTGAACACCGGGAGGAGTCCTATGCCATCTGCCTTTTGCGAGCTGTCCCTGCTGATTGCGTTCCACCATAGACACCTCGGCCTCAGTCCAGCAGCAGTACTCTTCGGGGCAAAAGGTCGCCAGCCACAACCGTTCCATGAAATGACCAGTCTCAGGGTCATTATGCACCATATCTCCTTCAAAGAGATCCGCCAGCATCTTCTGGTAGGTCTTCTTTGGGTGTCGATGAATAGTCTCACGCCTCACAGCAAATATTGCACCGGGCTGAAAGCCGACTGACATAGGCGGTCCGGCATGGCCGTAATTGTCGAAGAAATCTTTGAGATACTGGGCCGGCGTCTGGGGAGCTTTCTTGCCTATGAACTCGAGGTTCTTCCCCAGCCACTTCTGCCAGCATGGGTAATCCTTCCAAGGAATTCCATCCCAGAGATCGAACAGCTCCAGGTCACGTTGGGTGCCGAAGGTAGTGATTTGGCCCACCTTAGTCCCGAGCGCGTTGTCCATCATCTCCAAGGCGGTCATGCCAGTGTGGTCAAAAGCTTTGCCTTGTGTGAAGACGGTAATGTCCTTGAGCTCATCGTAGTACTTGCAGATGTAGTAGAGGTAGGTTTGTCCTTCGCGGCCGTTGTTGTCGAGCTCCTCGAATGCGAAGTCAGGGGCGTTCTTGGGGCCGCCTTTTGAGTAAATCTTGCAGTAGGCGATGACATCCTTGAGCCAGTACAGTTTCTCACTGTAATGTGCGACAACAAATTCGATGCTCGGAGATGAAAGAGTTGTGCTTGATGAGGCTTTGGTCAGTGCTGGAGAGATGTCTGTTGGAGACGACGTTGGTGAGGATGACTCTGGTGTGAACAATGTCGCCGAGGCCGGTGCCGGTGAAGCAGTCTTCGATAAGTCTAAAGACATCTTGATCGCTGGGATGACGGTGGTAGGACTGGAGGATTGGCACCGTGATACACCGGTTTGTCGATTGTCTGAACAGAAACCTGAGTGCGGTGTCAGAGGCTGATAGATTTCAGTAAGAAGACAGCCTAGTCTGTTGCTCTTAGTGGATTTATGGTGACAGTTCGGAAGAGAACAGAAGGATTACATACCTGTGACTGGCTTTCTATGATAGTAATGGGTGGGAGGGTTTGGATAGTTTTCTGGACGATTATTGAACAAGTTCAGTCTCAAAGTGAAGTTGCCAAGCATAAAACTTGATCAAGTCAGACGTGAAGGCACCCTAAAAGCCGATGATCAGCGGACAATGAGACTGCCGACGTCATTACAAGTGAGCAGATCGGAGGTTACATCTGCAATCTTTGGGGTAGAAAGCTTCTGCACTGGATACGACATACGGTGATGTCGCTGCTCCTGCTCCGGCAATCTCACATACCTCTCGGTAGGAATACCTTGATTTATAAGGACCATTTACTCATTATATTCTGCACTGCTAGGTAGTGGCCCGACAACCAGAGGCTTTAGTCCGCAGTTGAGGGGAAGATTGCTTCGATCCGGAGGGCAATTTCCCCCTACCTGGCCGGATATCACCTTGCGGCCGCCGAACCTCGGCACCAAGAGAGCGACCCATACTTGAGGCTGAACTGGAAAGTCTCGGTCACAACTCAACTCTCCATTCACGCTCTGGCCTACATACGACGCAGTTTTTCCGAGCCAAACATTGTGCACATCTGCTTAGACTCCATGCATGGATACGGATACCATCTTTGACGTCAAGTCGTTGGCTCCAGCCATTTCCCCACTCTGAGCGTATGAAGTAGTATCCACACGGAGCCCGCGCCATGCATTTCGGACAGCCATCGAGGTCGTTTACGTAGTAGATATGTCTTTTGCTTCGCGGATACTCATAGTCTAGCGACAAAGCTGAAGGACGGGTCAATTCAACGCTTCTGGTGGATCATCTTCAAAGGTTTTGATCGAAACCTACAAGCGAAGCAAACCACATTGCTATCAAGATAGTACTTGGAGTAGTCTCGGCCGGTGCCGATGGTGATATATACATGGTGTACATTGGACTGATGGATCAAGGCTCTCCTGAAGAACTCATCTGTGGCTCCGCTGCTGTGTATCAGCGCCGCCGCCGCATAAAAGGTCAACTGACGAGTGGGAGTTGTGCAGAGAGAGGGGTTCGAGGAGGAGGATAAAACGTACGCCAGACATCTTCCACCCGGGTAGCAACGAGAGTCGCTTCCAGCGAGAGCATTGCGAATCTTCGGCCTTTCTCTGATTGGAGCCATCTCAAAGGAAGCCGCCTTCGGGATCCGTAAAGCGTCCAACGTCTTGAAGAAGGGGAGTGCTTTTCAAGATTGAGCAACGGAAGTGGTGAAGGAAGCACACTGATGGTCCTGCTTCGAGCCTCGCAGCATGGCCTCAAAATCCAGCCTAATCAACAACAGACGGTGAACAATAGCTCAATATGCAATGTTGCATTCAGCTCCAAACTCAGAAAGGCCTTCGGCCAGCCTTGTGCACAATTGATTGCAGTCAAATGCGAAACTGATTGCCTGAAATACGCCTTCCAACTAGCCTTGCAAACAATTGGCCATAAATAATGGCTCAGTGTGCAACTTTCTATCCGTGTCTCGAATTACTCGGTCTTGCCAGGCATCAATCCATTTCAACGACTGTCACCAAGGCTAGATCCGTTGGCAAGCAGGAAGGAGGATGTCGAAAAGGCGACCGCCCTCAAGGACAGCCTTGCAGACCAGATAAAGCTGCAGCTCACCAGATGCATGCCAATGAGTCACTGGGCTGCTTTATCTCTGGAGATAATCTCACTTTACTGGGGACCAAGACGCAGAATTCTACCAACTGAACACTTCTGGCGAACGTCTGGGGTTCACTAAGCTTGTCAGTACGCAGGATAAGATAACGCTGGCAACGGACTATTCTATGATAAGCCTGTAGAGTACCTGTAACGTAATGAGTCATTTCCGATGAAGACTCGCCTGCATACCTATACTTTCAAGTAGTCTGCGTTGCAAAGGCTGTCGATCCAGCTCGAGCGAACCTCGGCGCACCCTCAGAACCCTCATACATTCGACATCTCTGTTCATTATTGTCGGGAGAACAGCATCTGCCTCCGGACTGGGTTCCGATTCTCTCCCGCTGTGCATCAAGCTCGATCCCACGCCTGACAGCACCGAGGTCTGCCAGCCACGTGTTGGATCAACCATCCAATTCGAATGAGGTATTAAAACTGGCCCAGGACAGTCCTGAGACAGTTTAATTCATGCAATCTACACATCACTCAACCTGAATCTTGACATGAGTAGGTGAACCTCGAGCAGAGGGAGCCCGGGCTGAGGATCAGTTCCTCGGTCTGGCCTGTACAACCATTCAGAGTATAGGAGTGTCTCCCTACAATTAGAAGTCCCACACAGAAAATAGGCGAAAAAGTTCCAGGCATGTCGCCAGAAGGAGCAAATGATCCCGAGCAGAGGAAGTCTTCGACGGGAAGGACCCTCATTCTGGCCTGTACGGCCATAGAAGACGAAGGGAGCATCTCGTGTCAGGTCTCGGAGGAGTTCCTGACAGATGACTTGAGGGAATTGGAGATCCCCGGACAGAAGGAGTCTTTGTTGGGGAGGGACCCACAGTTGGCCTGTATGGCCATAGAAGACAGCGGGAGCGTCGCTCCGTGCATCATGAGTGGCATCATAGATCATCCAAGCCACCATCTACCCTCCCCAAGAACTCTCCTCTCCCCCCATTCAATAGCTCATCAACATCAACGCCACCAGCGGTAAGATACCTCTCACTAACTCCGACGTTGACTCTCTGGCCCAAAAGCCCCTTTAGCTCACCTCTGAGCGCCCCCAATTCGCCTTTCGTCAAGCTCCTAGCCTCCTTCTCCTTCTTCTTCCTTCCCTGACCCCTTCCTTTTTTGCTCGCTTCTCCAGCCGCAAACTCCTCGCTGTCATAGTCAACACCTAGGTCCTCGGCGGCAGTCTTCAGCCAGTTGTCTTCATGGCCTTTCTTCTCTTTAGCAAGGGTTGCGTCGGAAATTTTCTTGCTAAGTATCACTCGAGGTTTCAAGCGTGAGACGACACGGGTGTCAAGGTCAAGCGTTCGCATGAAGAATTTTTTGCGGTCACCGTCATGCTCGCTCGCTTTGCGCGCGTGGACTTTAGCAATGAGTCGACGCATACCCTGGACTTCTTCAGGCGAGCACAACAGGATGCTCGAGCCCGATTTCTCTGCGCGGGCGGTTCTTCCAGAGCGATGAACATACATGTCGGCTGCTCGAGGCAGGTGGTAATGGAGGACAAGCTGAACGGAAGGGATATCAAGTCCTCTGGCTGCAACATCCGTCGCTATCAATATAGAGGATGGCGATGAGGCGGATGAAAAGCGCTCTACGGAGCGGAGCCGGGCTTTCTGGGGCATCTGGGAGTGAAGAGCGTAGGCGGGGAGACTGAGATTTTGGAGAAACGGTGTAAGACGACGGACAGACGTTATCGAGTTGGCGAAGATAAGCGTCCGCGTGTGTGGGTGGAGAAGTAACGTCGAGTATAGATAAAGGTCCTGCGGGTCCTTGTTAAAGAGAGAAGCAGTATTGGACTACTGTACAGACCTTTTCTATCCCAGCACACTCGACAATTCCTTCTTTGAGGCCTGTCGCCATTTGCGAGATGGGGTTGACATCAATGAACTTGGGCTTTTGGTCTCGAAAGTTGAGCTTTTTCAGTAAATACTCGAGGGATTCTCGTTTGCCCATCAGATCGCCACCTTTTGGTTTTCCCTTCCCTGCCAGTTTCTGCTGCAAGTCTTTTTGAAACGTGGCAGAGAAGACTAGCGTCTGTCTTTGCTGCTTCCAATCAATTGTTTCCGAATCGCGTTCGTCTTCGCCATTTGTTGCTTCATTTGTTCGGTCTAAAACACTAAGAATCTCTTCCACCTCTTTGAAGTGGCCTTCGCTCAGCAGCCGATCGGCTTCATCCACAATTAGAAACTTAATTCTACGTAAAGAATCTATCAGGTCCTGACTTCCACTAATGACTTCCCACAAGCGACCAGGGGTCCCAACGATAATATCAGCATGGGCAATCTGACGCTGTTGCTTATGCACAGACAGACCTCCAGTCAGGGTCGCTATAGAAAGCTGTGCAGAGCCGCGATCCGAACATAAATCTGTGAGATGTGCAGACAACTGATGCGCAAGTTCTCTGGTGGGTGAAAGAACCAGGGCCAGAGGGCTTTGCTGCCGTTCCTTGCCTTCCGCTTCTGCATATGGTACTTTACTACGAATAGTCTTAAGGTAGTGCTCGTAGATAGGTATTCCGAATGCTAGCGTCTTGCCGGATCCGGTCGGTGCTTTGCCTATAACGTCGTGGCCACCCAAAATTTCTGGTATAGCGGACCGTTGTATCGCAGTCGGCTGCAAGAACTTCATGCGGGCGAGAGACGAGATTGTCCGAGAAGACAGATTTAATGGTTCCCACGCAGACACTAGGACCGTTAGTAATAGAAGAAATTCTCGATCATCCGTTTCCGCTTACCATCGCCTTCCTCGTTATCTGCTATATCACGACCCTCGTCTGCTGTGCCCAACACCTCGAAGGTATTTTTTGATGCCTTGGGCTGAGACGTGGCCTCCTTCTTCTGCTTTTTGTCCTGCTTCCGACGCTTCTTCTCAACCCTGCTAGTAGCTTTCTCCCTTGGGACCTTGCCCTTGGACCTCCGTGGGTCCACATGTGTTTCCGATTCCTCTTCGTCAAAGCCTTCCCATTCTTTCTCATCTATTCCTACAGTAGTATCTGGAGTCTTAGGTTCCTTACTCCTTCTACTTGCGAAATCGTTGGACAGAAGCTGCCTTGAGTGGTCAGTATACCGCAAAACAAAGTATACCGCAAAACAAGATCCTCAAAGGCCATGCTTACACACCTTGTATTCCACCTTTCCAAGAGTTGGATCCTTCACAACGTCGACGTCTGAGAGCTCTTCCAAGCCAAAAAAGCCTTCGGCATCCTCTAAACGGTCAACAGCCACCTGATTCCATGGAAGCTTGTCAAGGACAACGGCTCCACCATTCGAACCTTCTTGCGAGCCGTCGTTCTCGAGATCGATTCGTTGTCTTTTTTGAGCCTTAAATGAAGCCAAATCACGGCGCCTCTTCTTTTCAATCGGCGTCATACCGGGTGCTTGCTGAATCGTACTGGCGGGGGAAACGCAAGCATAATCGTATGGGAACACGCTACACTTAAGCGTGTTCCCATACGATTAGGACTCATGTGACAAAACTAAATTTTGTCGAGATGCGCCGGGTAGGAAGGGTGAAAAGAACTCCAATTTCCAAACCACCCCCACTCAACTTCACCCCGCCCTCCCGTTAATCACGCTTCCCAGCAATGGGCAAATCCTCCAAAGACAAACGTGACGCCTACTACCGCCTTGCCAAAGAACAAGGCTGGCGCGCCCGTTCTGCCTTCAAGCTAATCCAGCTCGACGAGCAATTCGACCTTTTTTCTGGTGTTACCCGTGTTGTTGACCTTTGCGCTGCTCCCGGAAGCTGGAGCCAGGTGCTGTCGAGGGTCTTGATTAAGGGAGAAAGCTTTGGGAGGAGGGCGTGGGAGGAGAAGCAGAAGAGGGAAGGTGAGGCGCTGCCAGGCGGAGTTGAGGAGAAAGAAGGGGATGGGCATCGAGATGGGGAAGAGGAAAAGCAAGTGAAACTGGGCGAGCTGAGGCCGAGGAAGGATGTCAAAATCGTGGCGGTGGATCTACAACCGATGGCTAGCCTGGAAGGAATCACGAGCTTGAAAGGGGACATCACTACCCCGTCTACAGTCACAAGGATACTACAAGCCTTGGACCCAGACACATATGTCAATGACGCTGAAGACTCAGGAAGCCATCCGGTTGACCTCGTGCTCAGCGATGGCGCGCCAGATGTCACAGGCTTGCATGATTTGGACATCTACATACAATCCCAATTACTGTATTCGGCACTCAATCTCGCGCTGAGGATATTGAAACCGGGAGGGAAATTCGTGGCTAAAGTCTTCCGAGGAAAGGATGTGGACTTGACATATGCGCAGCTGAGATGCTTCTTTACAAGCGTACATTGTGCAAAGCCGAGAAGCTCGAGGGCGAGCAGTTTGGAAGCCTTTGTAGTTTGCGAGGGATTCAATATACCAAAGGGATACAAAGTTGATCCTAAGCGGCCGGTTGGGCTTGGCGCTCAGGTTCCTGTGCCAAAGAAGAAGCAGAAAGACATACAGTCCTCCGATGGTGGTGGTCAAAGACGGACTGTCCGAGAGGACGGAGTCAGTGTGCTAGACTTGGAGTCTGACGGAGAAGAGGATAAGAATCGATGGATCGCTCCATTCGTCGCTTGCGGAGATCTCTCAGCCTGGGATGCCGATGCCACGTATCACTTACCGAAAGACAGAGTCAGTCTAGATCCTGTTCAGCCTCCCACTGCTCCTCCGTATAAGAGGGCTTTAGAGCTGCGGAGGCAGCAAGGTGGGCTGTATGGGAAGACTAGCCAATGAGGCGCCAAGGTATTCTCTCCCTCTGACGTTAAGGGCAAGCAAGTAGATGAAATATCGCCCTCGAGACGCTGAGTCCGGAAGGCCAAACGCCAAAGGAAGCGACTGTAGGTGGGTGGTGAACAGCCTCCCACAATTGTTTAGTAGGTATCTGCAGAAATTGGCATAAGAGCTGATGGGTCTCTAGATGGTTAGTGTAGGTGTCTCGACTCGCAGTAGAGCTTTGAAAAATCCTGATTCATCGAGAACTAAAAATGTCTATCTGTGCCAGTTAAACCTTTCCCCAAACCCATTCTCCCTGCACTAAGCACATCCTTTACACATATCCGCCTGATCACTGTACGTCTCGATATAATTCCAAAAATCCCACACTTTGGGTACCACCTTGTTTTTTCCTTCGCAAAGAAGACCCATACCAACACCGCTTGAACCAGAACATGTCGTTGCCGTCGCCAGGTTGATCTTGTGCTCATAATCCGATACAAGTGTATCCTGCATATACCCTTCCGTTCTCGCCGGAACAGTCTGACACATCCGCTGACACTCAGCCACCAACGGCGCCGCGTCCATCTTAATTGTACCAATCGCCGAGGGATGAGCATGCACCTTCCTCTTCTGCCCATTCCAGTAATAGTTATCTTTCCCATGCATGGCCTCGGCGCAAAACTCATTCCCATCACCTGTGGACCAACATTGTTTCCTCTCCTCCTCCATCCAGCTAAGGCATTTTGGCGCTAGGAGATAGCGCTCGTAATCGAATCTGTTTAGATTATTATTGAGGGATTCCAATTCGCCGCTCGCACACGTCATGTTGAAGGCGTAGCTTTTGTTCTGGTGGTAATTGTAGTAATCGTAACCGTAGTAGCTGCCGTAGAATTGACCGTAGACTGCAGGCAGGTCTCTGGAGGGCGTGTCGATGCAGTAGCACTTCGAGAGGCGGAAGATGTCGCCTTCGAACTCGTCGTCGGCACGATGCTCGGGTTTGTCCTTGTTCCATGGGTCGAAGGGTGGGTTGGCGGTTGTGCGCTTCGCCAGAGCATGAGTTGAGATGCCAGATGCTACAGGGTCCAGGTGGGTTGTGGTGTTTTGCGAGCTTTGGTGAATCGGTAGGCCGGCGGTGAGGCTCGCAAGCAAGAGAGCGAGAAAGGTGAGGATGGGAGACATTTTCGAAAATGTAATTGTAGTTGTTTGTTAGACCTTTAGATGTTGCTTGGTGGGAGTGACAGCGGTCCAAGGTATTTGGATACTTTCTGAAAGTCAGATGGGATGATGATGGGAGATGTATAAGATGAAGGAAAGGTCTGAGGTTCTAAGGAACTCAAGTAGCCAATTTTCGATATTCCATTTTTTTATTGGAATATATCTCAGCCTGACTCATTTGGCTTGAAAATTCGAAGCTTGGCTTGGTGACTCTTTTGCACAACTTGGCATTTGAGAGCTTGGCGACAGGATATTTAGAGATTTTTCGAGATTTTTCGAGATTTCTGTACGCAAAAAATAAACTTGTGCGTGACACAGAGTTTGTACATCCTGCGATACGTCTGGACCATGAGATCTTTCGAGGGCTACCCTCCTTGCTGCTTTGTTCAAATCCACAGTCAAGATGCACTCGCTTCGCATCATCCGGAAGGTGCCCATCAAAGCAATCCTAAGAAGATTTGACCTGCCCAAAAGACTTGGGTCGTCAACAATAAAACAGTCGCGTTCAGACAAAGTTTTCAATAACAAGAGAAGCGATAGCATAGACACTTTTAGGAACTACAAAGACACCGGAAGAACTCAATCTCCCAAGACTAAAAAGAAGTGAGGGCGTCTGGAATTTGCAAGCGCCGGCGTCGCAATGCATTCTTCAAGGGCTGTAAGACTGGTGTGGGGACGACAGGGAAGTGTCGAATTTGAGGATGAGGAGCAGAGGAACGTGTAAGCCCAGCTCAGCTATACCACATTGGACAGAGACTCCATGACTTTTCCGATTAAAACTGCGAGGCAATTTCTGATTGACGACGCCGAACCTCTAAGTTTGAGGAAAGGAGAGTACTAGATCGCACGTACCTTAACCTTGTGCACGATTAACAGGCAAAGAGATAATTCAAAGCATAGTACATTGTCAGTGTTCCATTGGCGCTTCACTATAGTACACCTGGTACCTACTCAAAGTCATACTGTTCTCTAATCATTCTATTGGTTTGTGTCCAATCGCTCTGAATCGTCGGTCTGATATCTTAATAACACGCTAGCCATCTTGAGCATTGGCGGCTTGGCATAGAGTATGGCGCTACCAAAAATTGTAACCTCACCAAGCTTACCTTGTTTCCTAGCAAACTGTTCGACATTGATTTCGCAAACACCCTTTCTCATTGACACACGCAGTCCTGTGATCGTCCGTCTCTAAGCACCCTCCCCTGTCGGCCTGCCTGTTAGCGACAACATTATCGCCTCAATTTCGCTCTGCTATCCACAACTCCATCCCCTACAACTAATACAAGATCTTGATGGCTTCCGTGAGTTTCTGTCTCCACCTACCACCCATGCTGTGTCTTGCATGCGTGACAAGAGTTAGGTGAGACCAGACTGCTGACTACCCGATAAGCCACGCCCATACTACAACCAAGGTCATCTTCCTAATGGTGCGAACAACGCCGCGAATATGAGCTCGGCAGGTGGCCAAGGATCCAATTTTCTCCCAAACAACGGCCGTATTGTACAGAGTGGAGCAACACGCATTTTGTGCGTTGCTGATGTTCGAGGTACAACTCAGTTGCTCCTTGTAAGCTCCCTGGTTCTGACCTCAACACAGGCAATCTGAAATCCTTGAACGACCTGGCCCAGCAAGCAAAAGCAAATTACATCATCCATACTGGCGATTTCGGCTTTTATGACGAAGACTCACTGCAGCGCATTGCTGATAAGTATGCCTTCCTGGCCGTTATCGAGTTGCACACATGGGCACACGACTGACTGGTTTCCTCAGAACCCTCAAGCATGTCGCTCAATACTCACCATTACTTTCCGAAAATACAAAGCGTGTAATACAGGCTTCTCAGCCCCAGAATTATGATGTCAAACAACGCTTTTCTCCTCATGAGCTTCAGCTCTCCGAACTATCCATGTTCATCGACAAGAAGCTCAAGTTGGATGTTCCCGTCTACACAGTATGGGGCGCTTGCGAAGACGTCCGTGTACTGGAAAAGTTTAGATCCGGAGAGTACAAAGTGGACAATCTGCACATTATTGATGAGGCAAACTCAAGACTTCTCGAAGTTGGCGGAGTGAAGCTGCGACTGCTTGGGCTGGGTGGCGCAGTGGTCATGCATAAGCTGTTCGACAACGGAGAGGGACGTACGACAATTGCCGGAGGGCAAGGCACTATGTGGACTACGCTGTTGCAAATGGGAGAGCTGGTGGATACAGCGAATCGTGTCTATGACCCTACAGAGACTAGAGTCTTTGTCACACATGCTTCACCAGCACGGGAGGGCCTGCTGAACCAGCTCTCCGTCACCCTCAAAGCCGACTTCTCAGTATCCGCTGGGCTTCATTTCCGATATGGTAGCTCATACAATGAGTTCAGCGTCAACCCTACTCTGGACCACTACCGTGGGAAGCTTGCTGCGTCAAAAGCATCTTTCAATGACGTTTGGGAGACGGTCAAGAGCGAGGTAGAACCAGCTGTATCACAAAATGAGGCCCAAAAACAGCTACTCGACAATGCTCTAGACATCGTCACAAAAATGCCTACAGTGGCAAATGGAGGTAATCCATTCAGCCAAGCTCTACCTGGGCAAGGTACAGGTGGCCAGGTGGATGAGAGTGCTTTCAAGAATATGTGGAACTTTAATCTGGCTGACGCAGCGTTCGGATACTTGGTATTGGAGATTGAGGCCGGAAGAATCGGCACAGAAATGAGAGCGCAAGGTTTCAACTTTGCACATCGCGGTAGTGGAGGGCCAAAGCAGGGTGCCACACAACCCGTTCAATCACCAGCTCAAGCTGGACCGACCAACGCTGTCATGCAAGGCATGGGACCACCCATCAACCGTGCTCCTGTCGCCCCATCGTCCCAGTCTAGTCAGCAATTCAGTCAAGCTCAACAACCCGGTCAGCAACCCAGAAGTCAACAGCCACCCACGCAGCCGAAGCAGGCCCCTGCTCAACAACAACAACCGCAACCGCAGCAACAAAATAGGGGCCCGCCGAGCCAAGCTCGTCCTTCGCCAACCCCAGCCACGCCTGCCCAAAACCAAGTGAAGCCAGCTACACCCCAACCTACGACTAGCACGACTAACGCTGCTCCTTCTGCTGTTCCATCTGCTGCTCCTAATGCTGCTCCTTCTGCTGCTCCTTCTGCTGCTCCAAGCTCAGAGAAGCATGCTCCATCAACACAACCTTCCACGCAGGCACCGGAACAGGTCAATGGCGCAACACCGGGTTGGAATAGCACATCAGCCGATCTCCCTTCTACTAGCACGCCATCGACCAAGCCTGCCAACAAGCCAGCTTCGCCAGCTGTCGAGAAGAAGCCAAGCACAGGTTTGTTCATCCACAACATGGAGAGCGAGCAAGCTGTCCGCGACATCTTCCCCGATGAAGACAAATCCAAGATTCTGAAGATTGAAAATTATGGCAAGACGAATCACGTAGTTCATTTCGCGAATCACGAAGATGCACTCGCAGCGTTGAATCGTCAACCGGCAGAATTCAAACAGAAGAACGCTCCACAAGCACAGCCAGGCCAACCCCGGAAGCCGAACATCAAATGGTACGATGATCGAGGACCAAAGCCCAAGTTCCGAGAGAACCAAGGCGGCCAAGGAGCGGGTACCTGGCAGGGAAGCAACCGATCAGCATCTGGGTCTGGTCCTAGACCTGGATACCAGAGCGATCGCAATGCTAGTGATAGCGAAGGTGGTCGAGGACGTGGAGGATTCCAAGGTCGCGGTCGTAGCCGAGGGGGCGAGCGAGGCGGTAGAGGAGGCCGTGGCGGACGAGGTGGGGGGAACAACAAGGCAGGTGGAGACGAGAACTCAACACCAGCAGCACCGGCTGCTCAAGACTCGAAGCCCGCGACGACGCCTGCGGCCGCGGCTGCAGCCCCCTCCGGCGGTGCGTCTTGATTTGTCTTTGTTCGAACCTTTCCTCAGCAGAGTATGGCGCGCTCGAAACGATCAAATTTCTTTCGGAGAAGACACAGCGCACCGGCTCGGAACGTGCTCTCGATGTTTTACAATTACTTAACCGGCGACCTTTAGAACTCGACACTTTCGTCGAGCAGAGGAGGCGGCTGAAGATAGAAGGCAGGGGGGTTTGCAGGAGCTTTACATGGTTCGTTTCATCCATACAGGCGCTGAAGATCTTCTGAGCGAATCGGTCAATGAGCATGATTAGCATTCATGTATCATGTCAATTAGCAATGTAGTCTAGCTTCGAAAAAGTAATTGCTGGTATTTGATACCCGACAGCACATCCAGGGGGTTTGTGGTTGAATTACTTCCGACTTTATGAGGGGACGATTTCCTCAGCGCAAAGAATTGCACATATTTGTGTATACGACATATTATATCAAGGCTCTCGTCGTTGAATCATGAAAGTGGGTAGAACATATCTTACTTTATCTTTTACGACCTGTGAGGCAGGGCGAAAGTCAAGAGCTTTCCCCAGATTCCGCTAAAATACTGAGGCTAACTCGGACTGGCGTAGCTGGTGATCTTCAGGCGCCGAATTGCAGCCTGAATGATGTTATGTATGACGGGAGGTTTGCGTGCTAAAAATCAACAAGACCTTGCTCGCTGCTCTGTTCTTTCTCTGACTACAGATTTTCTACGGAAAAGCACTCCTCCCTCAATCTAACGTCTACAAACTACCTTGTATCTACACAAGATTTCTTTCTGTTGAGTCCAGGAATCCCACGTTCGCATATCTACTGCTGCCTGCCTTCCCTTCACTACCGACCGCTTCTCGATGCCGTTTCCAGAAGATTTTGTACCTATCATCTCATCAGCAGATCTATCCCAAGATTCACGGTTGCCGTCCGTACACCTACAAGGGTCAAGTGCCCTGTGAACGCGATAATGGTTGCGCCGTCCAGTCCCAAGTTGCACAAGATGCTACTCCGCTTTGCCACTCTTGCCGTCTTATGTCTCAGAGTGCTTGGGAGTGAAGGGAATTGGACTGTGAAACATGAGGAGGGCAGATGTGCGTTGAGGGGACAATGTGGAAAGAAGTCATTCTTCGGTGGCGAATTGCCGTGTCCGGACAATGGTTTGGCGGAGGAACCCGACGCGAATACAAGGACGAAGCTCGTTGCGATATGTGGAGATGACTGGAGTGAAGGAGACGTTTGTTGTGACGAAGCGCAGGTGACATCAGACCACGGAAGGACTCAACACTCTGATGAGAGACTGACTTCAGATTAGGTCGACAACCTGAGAAGCAACCTCAAACGCGCCGAAGGAATAATAGCAGGTTGCCCGGCGTGTAAAACAAACTTCTTCAACCTCTTCTGCACATTTACCTGCTCCCCAGACCAGTCGCTCTTTGTCAACGTTACAGATTTCGAGGAAAAGTCTGGAAAACTTCTTGTGACGGAACTGGATAACCTATGGTCAGACAATTACGGCAAGGGCTTCTACGATAGTTGCAAAGATGTCAAGTTTCCTGGCGGTAACGTCATGGGTTTCATTGGCGGCAACGCCAAGAATTACACTTCGTTCCTCAAGTTTCTTGGAGATGTCAAGCCGTTTGGGAGCCCGTTTCAGATCAACTTCCCTAGGCCTTCGAGTAAGCCATTTGAGGACATGGCTGCAGCAGACCCAATCCCGAAAGCGTGCAATGACACAGACGAGGCATATCGATGCGCCTGCACTGACTGCGAAGCATCGTGCCCTGAGCTGGCAAAGGTCACGGAGCAAGAGTATTGCCATGTCGGAGCTCTTCCATGCCTCTCTTTTGCTGTGATCATAGTCTACTGTGTCTTTCTGCTGCTTCTGGTCACAGCAGTCTCTGGGCACGTTGCGTATCAGAAACACAACCAACGGAAAAGCGAAAGATTACAGCTGTTGCAAGATGCCGCCCTGAGCGATGATGAGGACGAAGGGGAAATGGTTCACAATGCTGGCATGATAGACCGACCGCAAAAACAGTACAGATTCAACACTATCTGCGATAGCGCCTTCAGCCATCTTGGAAGGAAGTGCGCCCGGTATCCTCTGATCACTATAGGCGTCAGTGTTCTTGTTGTCGTCGTACTGAGCATTGGATGGGTCAATTTCGAAGTGGAGACAAATCCGGTCAGGCTATGGGTCAGCCCGTCATCTGCTGCCGCGAAAGAGAAGGCGTTCTTTGACGAGAGCTTTGGACCTTTCTATCGAGCAGAGCAAGCATTCGTTGTCAATGATACTCACTCATCCGGTCCTGGACCCGTCTTGAGTTACGATACCTTGGCGTGGTGGTTCGACGTCGAGGCTCGAGTCCAGCGCAGGATGTCTCCCGAAGAGGGTGTCGCGTTCAGCGATGTATGCTTCAACCCCACTGGAGCGGCTTGTGTTGTACAGTCATTGACAGGTTATTTTGGGGGCTCTTTCTCAAGCGTAGACCCGGAGACCTGGCAGGAAGATCTCAGGCATTGCGTCGATCAGCCGGTAGAATGTCTTCCTGATTTCCAACAACCACTCGACAAAGATCTCATTCTTGGCGGCTATGAGAAGAACGGTGATGTTCTAGGCGCTGAAGCCATGATCGTCACCTGGGTTGTCAACAATCACGAAGAAGGGTCCAAGGCAGAGAAGCGTGCATTGGATTGGGAACAAGGACTCATCAGCGTCCTCAAAGATGCGCAGGGAGAAGCCAAGGACAGGGGACTGCGGCTTTCATTCTCCACTGAGAGGAGTCTCGAAGAGGAGCTGAACAAGTCAACCAACACAGATGCCAAGATCGTTGTGATAAGTTACATCATTATGTTTCTCTACGCTTCGTTGGCTCTGGGATCTACGACATTGTCTGTTAGATCCATTCTACACAATCCTGCGAACGCGCTAGTAGCATCCAAGTTCACCCTTGGTGTCATCGGCATTGTCATTGTACTGATGTCAGTCTCTGCTTCCGTTGGCTTGTTTTCGGCTTGCGGTATCAAGGTCACTCTGATCATTGCTGAGGTCATTCCTTTCCTGGTGCTCGCCGTTGGGGTAGACAACATATTCCTCATCGTTCACGAATTCGAAAGGGTCAATGTCAGCCATCCTGACGATGAAGTGGAAACTCGGATTGCCAAAGCACTCGGCCGCATGGGACCCAGTATTCTGCTTTCTGCTTCCACAGAGACAATCGCATTCGCGCTCGGGGCTGCAGTCGGAATGCCTGCAGTCAAAAACTTCGCAGTCTACGCAGCTGGTGCCGTGCTGATCAACGCGCTGCTACAAATCACCATGTTCGTCTCTGTGCTAGCTTTGAACCAGCGAAGAGTTGAGAACAGTCGAGCAGATTGCTTTCCATGCATTAAAGTCAGGCGAGCAGATGTGGGTAGTGCTCATGGCGCCGGTGCGTATGGCTATGACGATGAAGGTCCTCTGCAGAAATTCATCCGCAAAGTCTATGCACCGTCGCTTCTTGATCGAAAAGTTAAAGTTGCGGTCGTCGTTCTTTTCCTCGGCCTTTTCACTGCAGGCTTAGCTCTCATACCAGAGGTTGCCCTTGGTTTGGACCAGCGCATCGCCTTCCCACGAGGCTCCTACCTGATCCCCTACTTCAATGATCTGGATGCTTACTTCAATACCGGTCCTCCTGTCTATTTCGTCGTACACGACTCCTCCGTCACAGACCGCCCAGAGCAACGTTCCATCTGCGGCCGCTTCTCTACCTGCGAGTCTTACTCTCTGACCAACGTCCTGGAACAAGAGTCCAAGCGCCCCAACATATCTTACATCTCTGGGTCCACTGCCAGCTGGATCGACGACTTCTTCACCTGGCTCAACCCGGTCAACGAAGCCTGCTGCATAGAGCACGGTAAAACGTGCTTCGAAGGCCGTGATCCACCATGGAACATGACCCTCTACGGCATGCCCGAAGGCGAAGAGTTCATCCACTACCTGACCAAATGGCAGCACTCCCCAACGAACGAAGAATGTCCGTTTGGCGGCGCAGCACCATACAGCACTGCCCTCGTTATCGAACCATCGACGCACCCTCCTTCCGTACCAGCCTCCCATTTTCGAACCTCTCACACGCCCCTCCGATCTCAATCCGACTTCATTGACGCCTACGCCTCCGCCCGCCGTATCGCATCTGGCATTTCCGAAGACCAGAAAATCAGCGTCTTCCCCTACTCGAAGTTCTACATCTTCTTTGACCAATACGCTTCTATAATCCGGCTTACAGGCACCCTACTCGGCTCCGCCCTCGCCATCATCTTCGTGCTCTCCTCCGCGCTTCTTGGCTCCGTAGCCACAGGCCTAGTCATTACCATTACAGTAGCCATGATTGTCGTCGACGTGATTGGCTGCATGGCCCTGTTCTCCGTCTCTCTCAACGCCATCTCCCTTGTCAACCTCGTTATCTGTGTCGGCATCGGCGTCGAGTTCTGCGCTCATATTGCCCGTGCCTTCACCTACCCTTCAAAGAGTGTCATGGAGAAAGCGAAATCAAAATACCGAGGCAGGGATTTGAGAGCTTGGGCCGCATTGACGAATGTGGGCGGGAGCGTATTTAGCGGTATCACGGTTACAAAGTTCCTCGGGGTGTTTGTGCTGGCATTTACGCGGAGTAAGATCTTTGAGATTTATTATTTTAGGATCTGGTTGGCTTTGGTGGTGTTGGCTGCATTGCATAGCTTGGTGTGGTTGCCGGTTGCGCTGAGCCTGGTTGGCGGTGACGGTAAGATCTCAGACTCGAGTCTTACAAGATAGGAAGATGAGCGCTGATCAAGTCTTAGGCTACGTGGATCCCGAGAGTGACGGGAGCTTAGAGGACGACTTGGCGGCGAGGAGATATAGGGCATTGTTGCCAGAGGATGACTATGACTCGGATGATTACTGAACCGTGAAAGGAGTAAAGCATACGGGTTACTGCATGGCGAGGATGAGCATCAATGTACAAACAAGCACAGCATGAAGGAATAGCATTGATGGGCGTAGTTAGATGAGTCCAAGCATCTGTTGTAATCTTATATTCTTGGCCATCCAGTCCACCTACACAGCGGAAAACAAATTAGGAAATCTTGAAGCGTTCGTATAACATTACGGCCAGCCTGTCTCATGTCTATTCAACGGATTATAATGCAAACCTGCAGATTGGGTATCCTACCTTAAAAACAATCCTATGGGACAACACCGACGGAAAACCGGACAAGTTAAAAATCCCCAGCCTCTACACCTTCCCGTTCCCACCTTTCGTCTCACCATTATCCTTCCCCTTCCTCCTCTTCACATGAAAAGCCTGCTTCAACCGCTTCAACTTCGCCCACCTCTCCTTATCCCTTTCATCCCTCACACCCAACTCCTCCCTCGTCGCCGACGAATGCGCCAGACTCGCGACCTCGCTGCCCAGCCCATCCGCAGCCCTCGCGGTGACCGGCGTCGTATCTTCATCCCCGTGCCGCTTGTGGATCGCGCTCGCGTTGACGGCGCGCAGCAGGGCTTCCCAGCCCGCAAGGCCGTCGAGGGAGGTCCGTCGGGACGTTGCGCCGTTTTGGGAGAGGGGGCTGATCCAGGGGCAGTAGTCGCGGTGTTCGCCTACGACGTCGAGCCGATCCATGCTTGAGTGGGATGGAGATTCCGAGGCGGGTTTGAAGAGCCAGAGACCTAGGCGGCGGAAACAGGCGGTGCAGGTTGCGAGGCCGACGACGTGGCCTTCTTCGGCTCGCCAGCCGAAGAGGGCGAGGGCGAGAGCTGAGTTGTTGATTGGGGGAAGAGATGTGGTGGTGTTGGGAGGGGGGTTTGGAGGACTTGATGGAGTGGGAGAGGGTGGATCTGGAGACGGCGGGTGCAGGAGAGGCGCTAACTTCTGTGAAAGCGAGGAAAGATCGAAGCCTTCAGGCGTGGAGGGATCGGGTGGAAGTTCGGAAGCTACGGCGACCAGAGATGTGTAGCGTTGCCGTAGCTCATCTGTTGCTGTTTTATGGTGCGCGAGAGGGAGGCGTTGAATGGTATCTGTGAGATTCATTAATCCAATTGCCAGAGCAGTCAAGAAGGCGTGACGCGTACCATCGCAGCCCCTCCTCCGCCACAAGCACCCACCATCGTGAGAAGTAACCACCATCTCCGCGTACTTCTCCACCAACTGCTCCTGCGCCTTTTCCCTCCACTCATCCTCGTCCTCCTCTTCGTCCGACGGGCGCTTCTCGGTGTCTTGCGTCTCTCCATTATCGTGCTTCTCTTCCCTACTACTTTCCAACGTGATCACAACCTCTTTTCCACAGCCCCCAACACACTCAACCCTCTCCTTCCCCACACACGACCAACCCCGCTTCGCCCACTGCACCTCATTGATCCTCTCCGGCTTCCCCATCCATTTATCCACGTGTCTATACGTCTTCAGTCGCTCGAGAAATTGTCCGCGATCCCACGGCGCAAAATTGGGTGTCTTGCGCTCCTCGTTCATTGTGACTATTGGACTAGGTTGCTTAGCTGTCGCTGCAGCCGCGCGCAGATTCGGTGATTGAGAGGTGAGGATACGTGTACTAGGAGGAACATATGCAGAAGCAGGGCGCACGATGCGAGGTTTTTTCGCGGGAGGATCCATTGTGGTGGGGAGAGTGGTGGTGGATGCATTGTAATTGTCATGATTCGACTTTGTGGCTAGTGACGTGCTGGACGCGTTGGAGATGGAGTCGAGGATCTTGTGGAATTTGCGCTTCGTGGTACTTAGAGCGGTGCCTGTAGGCATGTCGGAAATTATATGGTGACATGCAAAGCTCAGATATGGAGGGTGAAGTAGGGATCTGTGGGTAGATGCTTGTTCAGTTGTTCTCCACATCAATAGATCTTCAGCGGCAGGGTCGCTTAACGCGCTAAAGTTGGACGTGTCTCTGGCCTTCATTGTTTAGCTTCATCATTATGCATCATGAGTAAAGTAGGTCATTTGTTCAAGTTTCGGTCCATTCATTGAGTTTTGATATTCACATATGAGAGCGATAGAATCGAAGTCAAGGCTGTATTCAAAGTTTCTGCTGGTTTTCTTCGCCTTACCACTCATAATCCTGGCTCTGTGCAAACTACCCGTCATTTCTTCTCGTCTTGCTCTCCTCTCCCAACATTTCCCTCCCTTCATACATCTTAGGCCCTTCTCATCATCACCCATCATGTCATATCAAAGAGAATTACACATTGCCCAATTAGCCGTTCAACGCGCTACCCTTCTCACCCAGCGAGTTTTCCATGAAAAAGCCAAAGGCACCCTCTCAAAAGATGACAAATCCCCAGTCACAATCGGCGATTTCGGCGCCCAAGCATTGATCATCCATGCCATCAAGAGCAACTTCCCCAACGATGAGATCGTCGGCGAAGAAGAAGCTAGCTCGTTACGAGAGAACAAGAACCTCTCCAGCCAGATATGGGACCTAGTAAAGAACACCAGCTTAGACGATCGAAGTTCGGAGAGTGAACTCGGTGGTCCAGTTGAAAGCGAGGAACAGATGCTGCAAACCATTGACGCCGGCAACAGCGCTGGCGGTGCGCATGGCAGGATATGGGCTTTGGATCCCATCGATGGCACCATGGGCTTTCTACGAGGCGGCCAGTACGCCGTCTGCTTAGCACTGATCGAAGACGGCGACGTCAAAGTCGGCGTCCTCGGCTGCCCCAACCTCCCAATCGACAACGCCGCACCCCTGTCCGCAGACGTGGGAGACGAAAGCGGCGCCGGCCGCGGCGTCCTCTTCGCCGCCGTCGCCGGCTCCGGCGCAACGAGCCGACCGCTCGGCCCCGGCGCTTTACGGACGAGCCAACCCATCCACATGAAATCCGTCCCCGACATAACCCACGCCACGTTCTGCGAAAGCGTCGAAGCGAGCCACTCATCGCATGGCGACCAAGCCGCGATCGCGAACAAGCTGGGCATCACGAGGGAGAGCGTACGGATGGATTCGCAAGCCAAGTACGGCTCGATCGCGCGGGGGGCCGGGGATTTGTACCTGCGGCTGCCGGTGCGGAAGGATTACCAGGAGAAGATATGGGACCATGCTGCGGGGGATGTCATCGTGAGGGAGGCGGGAGGGGCGGTGACGGACGCGGAGGGGAAGCGCTTGGATTTCTCAAAGGGGAGGACGTTGGAGGAGAACAAGGGTGTCGTGGCCGCGCCGAGGGCGGTGCATGCTCAGGTGCTGGAAGCTGTAAAGAGCGTGTTGGGCTCGAAGACGTAGATGGCGTTGATTCTACTGCTTGCCTCAACGCTTTTATCCGACGTAGGCATGCATGCTCGCGCACTTGGACCATTGTTACTGGTTCTGAGAGCTCGTATAACGGGCGATAGACAAGGATGGATTACTGAATCAAAGGTTACTTGCTATCGTGCTAGCTATCGAAGTTCATCTAGCTACACTGCTCTATAGTCATGAAGCTTTCATCGTGAACCTAAATACGAAGAAACAGCATGCAGCATAGAAAAACTCATGCGGACAGCGCCGTTTTGGTATCTTTCTCGGGGCCCGAAGGTGTCACCAAGACGCCAGAAACCGTTTCTCATCCTTGTTGTTGATGGAGGGTGCCTGCAGACTGTTAAGCCGTCACGAGAACATTTTGAGGGAATTTGACGGCTCCTCGCGCGCAGGACCCAAGATAAGGTCGACGTCTTTCTCGTCAATCATCGCGCCATTTCCTGAGCACTTGGCTTTAGACTTGAGCTGCGAGCATAGATCATCCATGTCGGCCTCCCCTTTCTGCACTTTCTCTGAGGATTGGACGCGGTCCCTGAAGCGCGAAGAAGTTAGCACGCTGATGACTATCGCAGCAAGGACGCAGTGCACGAACCAAAGCTTGTCGCAAGCCAACAATTGCTTCCTGTCATCTTCAGGTCCCAATTCGCTAGGGCTAGCGTTTTTCTGGATTTCAATTTCCTGCATCAAATCCTTCTTCGGTGGCACCTCGCCAGTATAGTAAGGAGTGCCGAAGTCTTGCAACGGGAACGCGTCGTTGAAGAAGTCGCCGAAAGCATTGTTATTCAGAATATTATCCTGAGGATCTCTGTAGTCGCCAAAAAGGACTGGATCGAATGCTCCGCCATTCTGCTGCGCCATCCAGTCGATCCCATTGATATCGGCAGCTGGTGACTTGGCCACATTTGAAGAAGCTACAGAAGAGTTAGACGGGGTTTACGAGAGCGCTCGAATGATTGTTTACCTTTGTTTTGAGCCTTGCCCTCCTCGTTGATGGTATCAAGTCCTCCTTCACTTGACTTACGATTATCAGGCGAGTCGGCCGATGACTCTGGCGTAGTACCGCATGATGAGTCGAGAGCACCATGTGACATTGACGATGTAGGAGACCCAGTAATGGAAGTAGAGGAGTTGTTTCGGAGGGTGGAAATCTGGGCGTGTCCATTCACACTACCGACACTGTCTTGCTTAGCCGTGCTAGGCGTAGAACTAGCTTTGCCCGTTGTGTAAGACAGATAATCTGCTGAATTGTTACGGCTGGCGTTTTCCAGTACCGACGGATCGAACAATCCATTAAGATCAGCGTAATCTTTGTTAATGAAGCCGTTATTGGAGACCTGGCTTGGTCTGGACTGCCCTAAAGGAGTGGAGAACATTCCATTGAAGCTTGGTGGTGACTTGCTCGCGGCTGACGACTGTTTTCTGACATTACCCGAAGGTGTTGTGCTTGAAGCAGAAGCTGAACGTTGGCCCATCTGCGTAGGGGAAGTAGTTTTAGCAATCGAGCCATTACTCATGAAGGAGCCTGGAAGATCTCCGAACTTGGGAAAGTTAAAATGAAAGTCACTGCCATTTCCATAGCTATGCGACTGGGTGGCGGATAGCGGAGGAGAGTAGCCAGCCGCCGTAGTATTCAAGGACATCCTCTTGCGATACTCCTTCAGCTCCATGCTCATCTTTTCTACTTGTGTGCGGAGGCGTCCATTCTCATGATTTGTAGCCTCGGAAGCTTTCTCGAGGTCTTCAACTTTGGTCTCCAAATCCTTCAGGTGACGTTCTTTGCGCTCGCGGAAAGCTCTTTGGGCAGCTCTGTTTTGCGCCTTGCGTTTCTGCCAGGCAGAATGTTAGTAGTGGAATTGGTGCACATGGCCTGAATGAGCATACCGTCGTCGGCTCTCCAGTCAATGGCTTTCGCCCTGGCTTCTTCGCGGACTTATCATCTCCCTCGCGTCTCTTGCTAGTCCCCTCCTCTTCGTCCTCATCATCCATGGAAGCCTTTCTCTTATCGTGGTGTTCGCCATCGACATATGATTCCGTGCCAGGCAGGTCACCGAAAAGCTGGTCAGTACTATTGTCCCAGTCGAAGTTCCCATCATCAAGTTCGTAGTCTAGGAAGGGGCTTTCGTCGAAGCTGCCGAGCTGGCCTGAGCCTGGCGTCTCCTGCAGTGGGGAAGTGAACATATTTGGTCCATTCGCCATGTGGTCGTTGGTACGTTGTAGCTGCTTTGGGTCGCTGTTTGATCGCGTGGTGCCTAAGGTACCGTTGCGCGAGATCTGAGATGAGCTTTCAATCGGGTTGTTGGAAGACAAAGCGGTGCGAAGTAAATCCTCCTGGTGAGGCGTCAATGTGAGATCTGGACCGTATGCTGTACCATTCATGGTAGTTCAAGATGTCAATTCTGGCGGACAGTACAGATTGATGATATTCGTTCTCTGAAGATGGCGGCTGATGGATGTTTCGATATTTAATGGAGTATGCGGAAACAGTTCGGAGCTAAGACGGAGGACCCCACCGGAATGATTACTGATGTGAGGGATCTGGTGCGACAACTGGCCAGTAGACAATGAGTAGTCTCTCACTTTTCCAAAGAGAAATCAGTATGAAGAGCTCTGGCTTGGTCGAAGCAGTGAAGGAATAGTGATGCCAGACACTGTATGACGGAGATGGGCATGCAGGAAGAAATTCAAAAAGCGGCGGTGGTGTCTGTAAGATAAGGGTCTGCGGAGTGGTGGATCTTGAATGCAGGACCAATTGAGCTCCTCGTACCTGGAAAAGGTATGGTGGTGTGACAGGCAGACACGACAGGAAAATGATAGTGTTGCAAGCCAACGAAATGTAATCGGAGACGGGATGATAGAAGTCCCTAGACGTTGAACTTGTTCAAGCACTAGAGTATGGTGACGACAATAAGCTCGGTGCTCTTTGGTGCTCACCCTTGTGAACGGGTTGTGCTGTAGCCTGTCTTGCTCAGACTCGTCCTGGACCCTTCTTTCTTTTTGCTTCTGTAGCGGTCTGAATAAGTCTGGGCCTCGAGCGAAGGATGAATGGACCCAATCAATTCTTGTAGCCTGTTTACTCCTCAAGCTTGGCGAACGTTGATTTCTCAGCGAGTCAGCAATTCTGTCTTGCCAAAGCCAGCTTCTCGGTAAAAGGTTCTACCGATATCCCGGTCAAGCCTTGGCAACCCGGTGGTGAAAGGAAAGCCTTCCCTAGCTGACCAATGACTTTACAACGACTACCATCAGTCCCCTGCTAATATCTCTCGACACCGAGTACAACCATCACCACCGAGGCTGAACGTTCCTGCGAGCCATCCACCTCCGCAGCTTGCTTGGATCTTGAACTAAGGACATTATGAGCAATGAAGTTGCCTCTCTGGAAGCCGAGATTAAAGAGTACAAGCTACAGGTTAGCTCGCCGATCCTCCCCATGCATCATGATATACTGATACCTTAAACCTTGACAGCTCGAGACCGTTCAATCAGGTTTACAAGCCGACCCAGACAATGCGGATCTGCAAGGACTCAAGATAGAGCTTGAAGAAGTCATTTCCCTCACCGAAAGCGCGATCGCAGAGCTAAAGCCAGCTTCAGCACCAGCACCGACCAAGAAGCCATCGTCACCACCAATTAAGGAAAAGTGGTCGAAGGAGAACCATCCGGCCTTCCAAGCGGGCTACCGCAAGCCAGCTGCGCCTCAGAGTCCTGTTGAAGAACCTCAAGCACCTACTACGTTCTCCGTGAATGACAATATCCTAGCGAAGTGGAAGTCGGGGGACAAGGCCTTTTACCCTGCCAGGATTACATCTATCACCGGCTCATCGAGCAAGCCAGTCTACATCGTTACCTTCAAAAACTACACCACAACCGAAACTCTGTCCGCTCACGACATCAAACCGATCTCAAGCGACTCGAAGAAGCGAAAGGCTGATGGTCCTCCAGGGAACCCCACCACGCCATCAATACCCACCAGCAGCAATGTCATATCGGCAGCAGCGAACATTGACCCCACACTCGCCAGTCAGGCAAAGAAAGAACCAAGTAAGGTCAGCGATGGACCGGTACGGCCAGCGAAGGTCCCACGCAAGGTCAAGGCAAATAAGGAGCTGGAAGCAGGCAAGAACAAATGGCAGGACTTTACCACGAAGGGAAAAACTGGAAAGGTCGCGAAGAAGGAGAGTATGTTCAGGACGCCCGAAGGTGTCAATGCGAGAGTTGGCTTCACTGGGTCAGGCCAGCAGATGAGGAAGGATCCTGGTCGAAGTCGACACATCTACCAGCAGGCAGGGGATGAGGAAGGGTGAAAAGGGGTTTAAATAAGGCTTGCATACTTAGTAAATGGTGGTTGTGTGCCCAAGCTGACTAGACTTTGTACGGCCGGTTCTAGTGCAGAGACCACACCGACGTGTGTGGCATGATCATATTGAATGATTGTTTTCCACGCTGGACGGTTCTGGTTTGCCCACACCTTTGTTTTGTGTGCGAGCTAAATTATGGTGAAAAACAGGGGCTCTAGCGCGCAATTCATCAGATCTCTGGTAGGAACTCATCAGTTTCCTTGCCCCTTGACCGAGTTCCCTCTCCATACCCAAAATCATCGCGCCAACTTATATTTGAATTTTCTTCCACCTGCCAAAGTTATGCCGATCAGATCTGCGGTTACTACATGGGAGTAGTTGCTACGCTCGCTCAAATGGCTGCTTCAATTATTGCTGCACTCCGAACTGTCACTCATAGTCAATGGCATGACCTCATTCAATGTACCTGGGTCCCTCATCTCATTTCCCTCGCCAAGGCCCGGCTTTTTGCGTTGTATCTGATATTGCTCTAGACCGTGAGATCATGTTTTGCCATTCAAGGAGGGTCAACCACCCAAGATGTCATCCAAATCCCTCCAACAATCATTCTGAAACCTTTCTTTGCAGGAATGAGATCAAGCTGTGTCTTACTTGCTCTTGCCGAGGTCGACATATAGATTCCCCTTATTATCTGTATACAAGTCAATGACTTGTGTTTCACCTACAGAGTTCTTCCCCAATCGACTCCCACATTCCTCGCTGGCGATGTCGAATACACATAGAAATGATTGCTACCTAGGCCTGCCAGAGGGTGTACCGTTTTTTCCGCTCATGTTGATGCTTCGAAACGCGATGTTCACCACGCATTCATGATCATCTATACAAATAATCGGTCAGCTCCTTGTGAGGCCTATTTCTATGACAGAGATGCATCATCTCAAAAGACAAGGAAAATCAAAAGGCAACCTCCACCCCCAACCCCGGAACAGTGCCAGACATTATCATTTCAAATTAAGAAATCTGAGGATTCATTGCCTTCGAAAGCTACTAGATTGCATCCACTATGTTTGTGGTATTGAAACACAACTGAGACGTTTCAGGACGGCTTACGCTACAGTGACATTGCACGTGCGGTATAAAGCTGTGAACCTCGATCAAAGGTTGTCGTCGCTCTCGGTATTTGACTTTCTCATCAGTGCAAACTTCGAGAGCATGCTCAAGAATCAAAAGCCTTGTTCATTGCTTCGATATCGCATGCTGAGATTATGTATGATCCCACCCGCATTCACAGCGCCGAAACCCACGCGCCTCCGAACCGTCTCCCCAACGGCGAAGTTGACCTCTCGAGGCGGCTCGTGCGCCGCGATCCCCTCCGGATTTGAGCGACAAACCAATAATACATTTCCCCAATCGCATGAGTTTGTCAATGCTTGAACCTTGAGCTGAAAATTGAAGCGATTATGCGCACCGCTAAGGTCACATCAATCTCGAAGTTGACACCAGAGATGATTCTCAGGATGCGGATTTCAGTCATTGTCAGCCGAGGCCATTGTCAATCAAAACTCTCGTCCCTTCACCCACTGGGGACTTTACGCATTCTACTTTGTGCCAATTCGGCCAAACTTTCTTTTCCTTCCAGACTCTTTAGCCTTCCTACATTGATATTACTCCGCAACTATCGAGCTCGGTTCATCGGAACAGTTATTGTTCCATGGACCAGCTCCGTGATCTGCTCGTGACAGCAAGATCGGCGCAAGTATCACCTGGATATGCCTTGTATCCAACCTGGTCATCTTTAATAAACCGATGTCTGCGGCTGCCTGCCAGAAGACTTATCTCGGCGGCACTCATTGTGCTAAGCCTTGACAAACTGAATGAGCAGAGACGCTGGGAAAAGCTTGAGACCGAATGTTCACTTGTAAACATTCACGCTCGTTTTGTTGGGATGCCAGTGAAGGCTTCTCCACTCAGACCACCAGCGGTGAATTAGAGGTTTCCGCGCCTATTCATTCTCCTTCTCACCCAGTGATCTTCTTTCTACTTTCCTACACACACATTCTATTTGCCCACGAAAGATGCACAAGCAACATGTTTCAAGCTTGTAAGAGGCAACCAAGTCAATGTCTTTGTCCCCTAAGTGCAGCTTATGTTCTACATGTTAGCCATTCATTCTCGTACTCAGCGATGTGAATTCCGCAGCCATTTGACACAATTCTCCAAGTCCTCAATACTATATATGTAAATATTCCCAATCTTCCAACTTGATTTCACAGACCCGAAAACTCTGCTTCTTCAAGCCCATACCCACGACACCGCCAGGGAACTGATCGAGGAAGTCAAAGGCAGCGAGATCGAAGTAAGAGACAGATTCTTCCTTCGATTCGCACCCACCTGCCTGACGCGATGACTGACCCAGTCATCACAAGCCTTTTCTTTCTTCAATCTGTCTGAGCATATCAAGGCTGTTTTACCATGATCTCCTTTCACTCCGGTACATTGGTCAGCTTCATGTGTCGAGAGCCTGATCGCCGACGATGCATTTGTGGTGTCTGTTAGGCATCCAGTATCCTCCTCCTCACCGTATCACGATCCCTCCAGTTTACCATTTCCTACCATGGACTTCCTACCCTTCCTCCTATCGTTCCTCGCTCCCGCATTCTCCGTCCTTGGCGACTAAATGATCACTATGTACGTGCCGACGGACGGCCTGTTACCCTCCATTGCGGTCATCAAGGGCTTGAGCATGTTGATTGGCGCGTCCGGAAGTCGACGTCTTCGGCTACTGGGAGCTCACGGACGCGTCACTACCGGGGATGCGACCCATACGACCCGTCAACCTACATCAGCAGAAGCTACAACAGCAGGAGCAGTTGACGACGACCAGTGGTTTGATGGCGAAAAATCATAGCCATCACTGGCAGAGGACCCCAATGACACTCAAATGATTCGCGATCAGACCGAATATCTCGCACGGTTAGCCAAGATCTCCGCTATTCCAGAATGCCGCATCATAAATCGTGCAAGGCAAGGCTCAACATCTCTCACATACGCGTACACAGCTCTCCTTCGAGGACTTGCTATTTCTTTCCCGTCGCCTCTTGATGTCACTGTTAATTTTCTGCAACTTCACCTCTTGCTACATCAGTCTTTGCGAATCATTCGTATCTATCTCATATATGTCGACACTTTGTAAGGCAAAACACGTGAGGAAACAGGTTTCACAAAAACAACAACAATAACAACAGTAAGTGCACAGTCGCCCCGCAGGCGCGACTGCTGACTCCTGACTGTTTCTGCCACCATCGCTCCGCATGCGCAACTGCTAACAAGTCCTAGTGTCTCATTTACCTTGTAGAACTTGCTTCTGCCGAGGCGATGATATCTGTGTTCGTGATGAGTCCCCCCTCTGTGACAATTGCAAGGCCGGGAGACGCGGCATTGGCCGCTGTGTTGAGATCCCTCTGCACCTTCAGGCGCAGGTAAGAAATCGATACGGCGCCATCGCCGCGTTGGATGGTCTCGGCGGATGTCTCGTCGACGGGCTAAACTTGACAAGGAGATCACCCAGTGACGTAAAGCACAGGTGCATACGGTAGCGACGGCTTCGGCTGCTCCTGCCATGATTGCAGATCTTCAACGCCAGCTCGTGGCGGCAAATGAGCGCTTTCAAGAATTGGAGGAGATGAATGAGCTTCTGGAGGAGGAGCTTGAGAGCCTCCGTCGGCACGTGGCGGAAGTTGACGGCTATCAACTCGAAGACTACGCCTCTACCACCTCCTCGTTGGCGCAATGGGCCGATGAATTCGACTCGGAGTCTGACGTTGAGATGGCGGAGGATTCTTGAGTGGCGACCTTCTTTCGGTAGCAGCGCTGGCGTTGAAGCACAGGGAGCCGGAGCTTGAGTGTGGAGAGTGCAGCAGCCTAAACTGACGTATGTTGGGAGATCACATTCGATTGACTAGGTGCCTGCACAAGCGAAGCAACATCAAAGGCAACGCAGGCGCGGGTCTGGACTTAGCTGAGACGATGAGGTTGGTTGATATCTGAAAAGCCTTCAGATAGGACGCACTTCCCTTTTTGCTCAAGACTGTGGTCACCAGAAAGCTTTGCAATATCCTTCCGAGACCTTGCCATTCCGAATGTGGAGCATCATAGGCACGGGATAAAATCAAATCGAGACATGGTGCTAACTTCGCAATAGCTGGAGATTTAATCATGATCCCTGTCTCCTGAACAAAGGCCTTTTGCTCCTTACGAGATAGATCCTTGACAGGTTTCCGTTGCCTTGTCGTTCCCCAAACGGTGTTGAGGACTTTAGGGGCTACATGCCCCTTATTGAACCCCACGGGGCCGAAAAGTGGTGGAGTCCAGAATCTCTGCGTGAGATGAATTTCAAAGAGGATGAGAATCCATACGATGTACCTGATGATCACCCTGCTGCGAAGCTTCAAATCACTACGAAAGCTGTGAAGGAATGGATCTTTGCCCTACGCGTGGATCCTGTAACTAAGGGTGTGCGTTTGGCTAAGATGTGGAAGCGGATTTTGCTACGTCGGATATTCTCCGGTCAAGTGCCTTTCAACGATGGTAGGAAGATCTCAGACCAGCTTCCCCGAGTTCAAGGAGCACTGATCAACTGTACCCATACACCTACGGAGTAAACGGTGTATCAAAAAATGGAAGATGCTCTCACTGGGAAACTCATTGTCGCTGGGTCTGGGTCTACTAACCAGCGCAAACCCAAGTGGTCTTTAGGCATCCACCGGCAACTATCTCTGTTATCCATGTGGTCCGGCCTCCCTCAATTGGACAATGACTTCAATCTAAAGGCAACCAACATGAAGGCCACTTTAGAAAGGAAGAGCTTCTATATGGATTTCCAAGGGCCAGGAGGTTGAGGTCGGTGAACGAAACGACGGTTACAAGATGCAGCTCGAAAAGTACATGAAAGCCAGGCACAACGCCCCAGAAGCCGAGAAACATATCCTGCGGACCAGGCGGGAGGTGATTCAGCATGCAAGAGTTTTGTGGTTTCTCACATGCGCCTTTGTCACCGAAAAAAAAGCCGCTATCTGAAGAATTATTCAAGGAAACGCACAAGATTTTGTGTACAAACATCTCCCATCCAAAGTACGATACGTCTTGGGAAGAATATGCGGATATATACCGCAACGATGTACGGCAGCCAGAACGTTGTGACAAATGCTCAACTGACACTGACAAGATCTGTCTCGGAGTTGAACTTGGAGTTGCGGCTCTGACCCTCTTTTTGATCAGAGATATTGTGTTCGGTGTGGTATCGGGAGTGATCGTCGCCCGCAAAGGCACCTCGGAATTGAGAATATGTGAGCTACCAATGCACATGACAAACTCCTCACAGCTATTGACCCACCCAGAAGAATCGTGAGCACCGAGAAACCCTCCCGGGTCTGGAAGAAACGCAGGCTTCGGCGTCAAAGGAAAAGGACGGAAGACCGCATATGCGCATTCTGACATCTTCACAACCCTTCATGGACACGATACGTCCTGGGCCGAGCTAGATCCTCTCGCCGTACCCCCTACCGTCGATGGTGCTCTTCGCGGTGTTTTCTCGTGGTTGGTTGCCATGAAAGTCCTTCTGGAAAAGAACACCCAAGTCCTCCATGGATGCAAGTGGGAGAATATCGAACCAGTGCATAATTTCTACGAAGAAGACGGGTATGTAAGCGCGATAGTAAGCCGTTCTCTCACTGCCCTTGTTCTCATCACTAAATTTGTTGCTTCTCAGGCTGACACGAGCCACACAGCGGTAGAGAAGTGCGCGTGACATCGAGATTGGCATTCTGGGCTAAGAAGAGGCTACAGATCAACGAATCACGGAAACTCCTGACTTATGCCTTGGTAAACGAGACTTTTAACTCTTGCCCCATCGATCCTTGCCGCTCAATCTGATCCCGCCCCCCCGTGAGTGGAAGAGATGCTAGATGATTGAGAGGTTGCGCTGACATGTGCTAAGGCCCCGCCTGTATGCGCTGCGTGCGTGCCCTCGCGGGTAACCCTCGCGCGATTTACGCCGCTCCGCCTGCTGGCTCGCGCCGACGTAAGTGCGAGCGGTGCTCCCGCGGGGGTCACCTCTGCGTGGCCGATCCGCTCCCCCCGCCTTTAAGCAGCTGTCTTTACTACGGCCGCCTCTGGCGGTGATGTTCGCGGCGCCTTACGCGTCTGGGAGGGTACGAGAAATCCTAACTGGCATATGCGAGGGTATATAGCTAATATAAGTAGTTATGAATTGCAAATTAAATAAGAATGCTTGGCAAAGCTGATTCAGCTCCGCCTCCGACTTTTTGTTAGCGTCATTCATAGAAAATTGTAGAGAACGTACTTGCCACTCTTGCAATAGCCACTGTCGTCTACTATCTCAATTAGATATTCGTGATACCGAAGCTAGTGGGTATATACGCTTTTCCTAGTATTTTACCTCTAACTTAGGCGTGTAATAGCCATATCGCCAGCCCTTACTCCGAACGCGATGCCACCATTTAGAAAGGATCCCTCTGTACGCCAGCGTGCCCAACTCTTACTCGAATCCCATTGGCGACCTAAAGCCGTAGCTGCGGATGCCTGTTCCAGTGTATCGACGGCGTATCGATGGGAGCGGAACCTTGCTATCTATGGTGACACCGTGATCCCTCGTGATAGGTACATTCATACACAAGGGCGATGCCGCAGCCTCTCACCTGCTACTTTAGACGCTCTTCTTATTTGACGGCGAAATTGAGGCATTTGAACGAGATTTGGAGTATTTGACTATGGAGATAACAGAGTAGTTACAATGAAATACTACGTAATATCAATCAAAATCCTCCACCTTCTCTATGACCTTCTCCCTGACCTAATCGTTCCAGAGCATAAGCATGCTGGTAAGTCTCCCTCCACAAGGCCTGGCCGTCTGACGAGAATTGACGGTATTCCGAGGCATTGCAACACCATCGTATTCGTGTTTGGGCTATACAGAAGCTTCAAAAATATGGAGTGGGCTGATATAAGAGTGGCAAGTACGTTCTCTACAATTTTCTATGAATGGCGCTAACAAAAAGTCGGAGGCGGAGCTGAATCAGCTTTGCCAAGCATTCTTATTTAATTTGCAATTCATAAAGCTGCTAGGCGCTCCGCCCGCCTCGCCGCCCGCTCCGCCGCCGCCTCTACCCTCGCCGCTACCGCTGCTGCTGCCTCTGCTGCTGAGCCCCCCCGCCTTTTGACGGTTTTTCTTAGTAAGAGGTTGCTTTTCAGTATAAGAGGACAGGTAGGCTAATGCTAGGCAGTGTTGATTGTGGGTGCGGCCCTTACGGCCACTGTTTTCTTTGTGGTGCTTAGCGCTTCGGCGCGTTAGGATATATGTGTGTGGATGTGTGTGAGCCTGCGGGCTTTTTAGTCGTTTTTACTGGGCCTTCTGGCCACAATTATTCGCCTACCCGGGCCCCCTGCTGCTACTGTTTCCGTGGTCTACCTCGCTTCTTGATTCCCTTTAACGATTGCGCCTTTGGCTTTGTCTTGGGTACTGATTTATGTGACTTCTTTGCTCGCTCGAAGTCCTTGATTGCGCCTTTAGCATTTTCGAGGTACTCTATTGGCTCCCACGAAGCTTCGTAAGGTGGGGAGTCTTTCCAGTCAATAAGGTACTCAGTCTCACCCTAGGCTGAGCGTCTGTTTCCTGGCCTGCATCAAAAATCGACACTCGATGTCGCCCAAGCGTCCGACCGGAATTGGGTCCCGTTGGTCGACATCCGCATATTCGATGTCTCCAAACAAATTTAAATCCGAGATGCCGAGTCTGGGGTCTGCAATCACTGTTACTGACTCCCAGCTTGTGCATTTCTCAGGGGGGACCTTTGCACTTCAACGATTTGATTTGATAACGACTTACGACTTTCACCACCTTCTATGAACGTTCATCCCCAGCTCTCAACGGTCTAATCCGCTATGCCAAGGCCTCTTTTCCGGCTTTGGTCAAAGCCGTACATTCTCTGGCACCCCTTTGCTTGCTATCGGCTCTCGTGGTAAATGAAGACGAGGGCGTCTTGGTTTTCCTTTTGCTTGGGAGAGCTGAGGAAGGAACAGGCGAGTGCTGGCGAAGCACCATTGCTACCTACACTGCCCCTGCAGACTTAGACTTATTAGCAAGCTACACTCTACACAACACTGAAAGCCAGTCCAATTTGCTACAACATAGTGCCTGTGCATACTAGAGTCTTTCAACGCTGACCCTATGATTTGCGGAATACCCCGTCACTTCGGGCCACCGAGGAAATGTCTCGTTACCATGTATCAGGTCAAACGAACACATACAGTCAAAGGCCACCCCCACTTTACCCACTCTTCGGGCCTCTCAAAGATGGAGGATTCGAGCCTACCGAAATGAGGTCTGCACTCCCTTCCATGACGATTGAACTCAAATCAGATCGATGATTCAAGAAAGACAGAAATGCTTCTCCGGAGAGCGGACAGCCTGATGCCCAACACTCGCTCACCGGTCACGCCATGGTCCAAGGTGGCAAAAACCTCCAAATCGGAAAAGAAAGCCTGCTCTGGAATGCGCACGGACCGATGACTACGGGGCAACTCTATTGAACGACGTCACGAACAAGGAGCATGAGTTGGTCAAAAAAAGGAGGCCCATGATGAGGGATGGAACAGGACGGACAAGCTAGACCAGGAATGCGATACGTACTTACGAAGCACGACGGATATCCTCCGTCATCTCCAGAGGACATTCGAATCAATCAAGCTGAGGAGCGAGGACGCCGGATCGCTGGTTGATCACGTGGATCAAAGGAAAGAGTGTGACTCTTGACATCGGTCCCGAAGAGGAATTCTCAAAAGACTTTGATCAGAGCAAATAGAATATGACTAAAGAAAAGGGCAGAAAAGCTGGCAGATCATAGAGCAGTAGATTATGAAGCCAAACATCGAGACGTTGCCAAACTCGCAGACCGCATTGTAAGCTGGAGCAGGGCGCGCAATGGTCCTGACCGTCCATCCACACACTTGAACCAGTCCAGGTCCGTTTAGACCGTCCGTCCTGATAGTCCCATAAGGTAACTATCAGGGGCGAAAACCGAAAACTGTGCTGACTAAAATATTCTCACATTTGGCTCTCAGTCAGCCTTTACTGCTACTCAAGATTGCCGCCATCATACTCAAATATTCCCAAGTAGACCGTCAAATCATAGTTCAAACCAGGACCACTAGTCCAGACCGTCCGTCCCAACACCTGAACCGGGCCCGACACTGGACCATTGGACCACTGGGGACCAGTAGTCCGCTTAAAAGGACCGGACCATTGGGTGCCTTGCAATGGAGAATGATGAAGACAATGTAACATGTTGATCATAATGCATCAAAGAACAACACCACGCCCCCAAAAGATCAAGTATACCAACTCGGCTCCGGCACCTCCCCCAAAAGCACATACCTCCCCAACTCCATCTCCTTGTACGCGACCGGATCATGCAACGAATGCGTCCTGACGTCCCTCCAGAAGCGATCCAGCCCCACCTTCCCGGCCGTCGCCCTCGCGCCCGTCGTTTCAAACACACCCCCCGTGACCCTCAGGGCCGTATCGGTCGCCACGACCTTGACGCTCGCGACCCACTCCGCGACCTCCCCCCTCTGCGCCGCCGTGATGTCTCTCTTCGCGCCGTGGTGGGCGTAGATGTCGGAGATTTTGGCGCCGGCGAGGTCGGCGAGGGCTTCGGCGGCGCGGAGGTGCGCGAAGAAGGAGCCGTAGCGCGCGAGGATGTAGGGTTCGGATGTGGCGGAGGGGGCGGGGGAGGGGGTGTAGGGCCACGGGCGGGTGTGTTTGGTTGTGTAGGTGGAGGCGAAGGAGAGGGCGCCGAGTGCGATGCCGATGTAGAAGTTGGAGAAGACGAGTTGGATGCTGGTGAGGTTCAGTCAGGATGGCTTGGCTGGTCAATCCCGTGGAGATGGGATGGAAGGACGTACGTTGGCAGAAGCAGCGTGGCCCACGGGATAGTCAGGATGCTCTCAATAGGTTCCTTGGTGGTGGGATCCCAGCCTAGGGCATCTGTCCACGGGACTCGGACGTTATCGATCTTGACGCTGCCAGACTCGGTGAGACGAAGGCCGATGTTGTCCCAGTTGTGAGAGAAGACGATTGCTGGTTGGTTCGTAAGAGCCAGGGCGAAAATATGTTTGTCTGTGCCTTCATAGACCTATTGCTGTCAGTTTCGATTGATTCTCCAACCCGTGAGGTAGTGATGGTGACATACCCCTTCAAGGACCGTCAAATCAGAAACCACACCACCAGTGTTGAAGTGCTTGAATCCACTGAAGATGATGTGATCGCCATCATCCGTGATCTTTTGGTCATTATCCCTCGGATTAACCGCACCACCGACGAAGTAGTTATTCTCAATAATCAACTTCTGCGTCCGAGCCTTCTGTTCGTCCGTGCCAACGACATTAGCCGTCCAGCTCCAGAGCAAATGGTAGCCGAGAAGCATGCCGACGGAGCCATCAGCTTTAGCAATTTCACGGATAACTTTGTAAGCTACATCCCACCCTTGCCCACCCCCGCCGTACTCCTGAGGACCTAGGACCTTGGTAAGACCTGAAGATTTGAGCAGGGTTACTTCGGCTATGGGGCATTTGTTCTCCTTCTCGCGATGGGCAGCATCTTCTGCTAAGATGGCGGACACGCGTGCAGCACGTTGGAGCCACTCGTCAGGCTTGGATGGCAATGGCGAGTCAGCAAAGGTTTGATGGTGGGCATCGTAGACAGTAGGGTCAGTCGCCGGGCGCGAAGGCGGCAACGGTGCTAGAGATCCCATGGTTATCTTGTTGGACGTTTTCGATGCTCGTAGTGATGTGAGGAGTCGAGCTGTCGGAGAATCTGGTAACCATTCCTCGAGACACTGGGGACAGACAAAGGCCGGCATTTGGTGGTACTACGTGGAAGCACGCCATCTCGTTGATATGCACGAAGACTTGCATCCACCTATGAATGGCGTGCTCTTTCACATAGTTGTACTTCTTCCTGGACGTTTCACTAGTAACAATCGTAATCGAACCGATCGCACCTTGGCAGATGCGGAGATCGTCGTTCGTGGGGGTTTTTAAGCACGCAATTCTCCGCGTATGCACACCCCGCATAAGGATTTGGGATATTTGGTCTGATCCCTGCGGTCGCATACGAAGCCTGGACAAGTCTAGGTCTTTCGCCATTGCACGAGGTAAACAATGGATCGAAGATCTTCACATAGTTTTGCGGCTACGATGCCAAAAGTTTCATCGGAGGCGTACATCAAGAAGTACGACGGCCACGAAGACAGAAGAGCCCAGCGCAAAACCTTGCCCGATCATTGTAATGTACGTCGGCTTTACGGCATGAGCTGCGGCTCAATCCGTCTAGAACCCTGAGCCCATGTATGGCACTACGTTGGGATGCAGGGTCTTTCTTGCACAGATCATCCTTTGATCCAATCTCGACCTAATGGTCTGGAAAACTATTGGGATTGTGGCCAGGTCAATGTGTCCACTTCTCGAGATCAATCTTGAGTTTTCTTCGCCGAGAAAAACCTGCTTGTATCTCCCATCGGAAACGAAAGGAACATGGCCTCTTGACACATCAGATTTGCGACCGTATAGTAACCCAGAAGCCCACTGAGGAAGGCGAATGCCCCTGCTGTCTTCTTGAGTCCTAATGCTGTACCCGCATGCCCGTCGGCCGTTGCGAAATAGGAGGCAGCAACCAATGTGAACGCCATCTGCACTGTGAAAAATATGCCAATGTAAACCAGATTTCTAGGGACACCTTAGCACGAACATCATTGTAGCGGGATCCTTTCCGGGGCAGACTTACAGGGGCAAAGATCCAAGCAAGAAGAAAAAGTTCCAGACAGCCCACACTGCCAAGGTCAGCATTTGCAGACTTTGGGTATGACTTCAATTACTGAGCACAAAAAACCCCAGCGCATTGTTATACCCTGCTGTATCTGTTCCATAGGCCGCCTGAACTCCAAACAAAGGCGTAATGATAGCGCCAAAACCACCATAGAAAAATCCGAAAGCGGAGAGAACGGTATACGCATACGTGTTCCCCAGGACGAGTTCCCACTGCGCTGATATGACCATGCCGATGCCTTTTTCGTGATCGGTCAGTATACTGAGTGACTCCTGAAGCTGAAAGCAAGAAAACAGACCTGCGACAAAGAAGAAGTTGCCGATGAAAACGTTGGTGATCGTGAGGCCTCTGAACTCCATCAAAGCCAATGCCAACGTCGTCAAAGTCGTGGAAAAGGCACCAATGGCTAGAGCAGTCTGATCACATATATTAGTTGATCAGTCACGGGCCAGAGAGAAGGTGTGTCCTGACCGGGCTTCCAAGCTGTGCTTTTAAAGTCACCGGGACTGGCACAAGGTACGTCGTTCCGCTGTGTGAGGACGATACACTCATTTCGCCGGCGGCGAGGGCGTCCCATTTCCCTTCATGTTGCGGACTTCGGTTTGCAATGTCTTCGAGCTGGTGAATTCGGTTTTCGTGGGCCATGATGAACGCGCAATGCCACGGCTCTGCGAACAGGATTGGCAAGTACAATTTGCAAAATGTATCAAAGCTCGTAAGTGGACGTCAATTAGTGGGTGTTTGTCCATAGTAAAGCTCCCATTTTTAGGCAGGTGAACATTGCGACGGGACTAGCGTCTGAGGGATACCTGGGTCGAAGATCTGCAGACACCATCTGCAGCCAAACGATCACGCCTTCATTGCGCCATAAGACATGATTTAGATAAACGAAATAAGCGATGTCAGCCCAATGAGAGGGGAGCCACTTCGGAATTTGTTGTCTGGAACAACCACCCCACGCAGCTGCAGGTCACGCAATGCACGGCCCCGCAACTTTTACACGAAGAAGTGTCTTTGACAGCAGTAAAGAAGTACTGACGACTTAGTCTAGACCTTTGCGCGTGTGATGACAGGAAAACACAACGTTACAGTAGAATAAATCTTAGTTATTGCAACACCAGCTCTCCTCCACTGTTCATGAACCGTACTAATGCCTTCAATTCTGCGCGAAGAGAACGGCAACACGGAGCTACAGACGAACGGAGACGGAAATGCACCCAAGACCAATGGTCACTTAGCTGGAAATCATGAGGATGCGTTTCGGCATCTGCCAAAGCCTCAGCAAGACATATTGCAGTTGCATGGGCCTCGACAGAAATATTGCTTAGAGAAGGCGGGTGAGATACCAGAACTTAGATCAGATCGAGAAATCTTGGTACAAGTAAGGAGAATATCTAGAATTCGAGAGGATATCTGACCTCCAAAGGTTGTAGCAATTGGCTTGAATCCGGTGGTAGGTGCTGCCTCCGCGAGTACGCGTTTCAGTTGATACTAACTGCCACGTCAGGATTGGAAGGGCCCGTACCTATTAACCACCGATTATTTTCGTTGCCCAAGACTGATGCATGATGCAGCGATTACGATTTCGGACTCCCTTCGTTTCCCTGGGTCAACGGACGGGACTTTGCAGGTATCGTCGTCAAAACTTCCAATGGGAGCTCTAGGATCGAAATTGGCGATGTAGTACGTTATCAAAAACCGAACTAGGATCCTAGCGGCAGCTGAAGCATAAACAGGTGTTCGGCCCATCCACAGATTATCGAGACGTCCGTAAAGCCGCCTATCAGGAATACTTGGTAACGACGGACTTCAATGTCGCAAGATTGCCGGCGCAGCTGCCGGTAAACACAGGCGCAGCTATCGGAGTTGCCTTTGTAAGCGCGCTATTGGCACTAGGTGTCTCTCTGGGGTTGGATTTCTCCAGCGTCACAGGAGCATCCAAAGGCCCTGATCTGCTTAGTATTCTCCGAAAGTCGGACCGAGATGAGATACCAGAAGACGTCCGAGAAGAATGTGTGGACGGCATCAAGGACACGGAACGTCCGCAGAAAGGGGACTGGTTTGCTATTTGGGGAGGTATGTTCACTGCCCCTGTTGTGGGATCTATTCTGATGAGACAGCGTCATCGAGCACCGGGTCAATGGCACTCCAGCTTGCCAAATTGACAGGGTTGAGAGTCATATGTGTGGCGGATGTTGTCAGGCATGGATCTCGACTCATCGATTTGGGCGCAGATGTCCTTGTTGACAGGCAAAACCCCTCGCGAGCCATTGAGATCATCCGTAGTGTGACGAAAGGCAAATTACGCTTTGCTCTGGACACTGTTGGCAAGGAAACGGCAACACAGCTCCAAGAAAGCCTTCAGAACCCAAAAGGAGACAGGCAAGCGCATTTGGTCGGCTTGACCGGGCTGCCCAAAGTGAGGCTTTCAGGTGTTAAATACCATAGCGTACCCATCAAAGTCTTCCATAGTGTGCCAGCTTTGGGGGAAACCGCCATGCGCTGGTTGGAGCAGCTTCTCGTGGCAAAAGGCCTGGAACCTCCGGATATTGCTCTTGCAGATGGGGGCCTGGAGGGCATCAATGAAGCCCTCGATAGATTGAGAAATGGGACGGTATCTGCAAAGCGCATTGTTGTCCCGATTGGGCAGAAATCAACAACGGAATCAGATGGACATACTGTGAAGAATGGGGTGAAACAGGAGGCTGAAGGGAAATTTGACAACCTCGATTATGCGGACAAGCTGAACGCAGACCCTCAGCGTATCAGATTTGCGCAAGTGCTTTCCTGCAACAGCCCGAATCATGCTGATCGTGTGTACATATAGATACTGGGTACCAAACGTCTCGGGAGGTTTGGTTATTTCCAAGATCGAACAACGGACTGGATGGTCGTTCGAACAGAACGTGGAATACGCCAAGACCGCGGAGAGAGTGGGCTTCGAGTACGCTTTGACCCAGATCAGATTCATGGCGGGTTACGGAGCTGGCATGTTTCCTTTTCTTGTTGGATATGCATCAGAAGCTGACGGTCTTGCAAGAGAACCAACACGAATCCGTCTCGTTTTCCCAGGCGCTACTCCACTTCACAGAACGTCTCACCGTGATGGCAGCCTTGCTTCCGGGGCCATGGAATCCAGCCATCGCCGCAAAACAGATTGCTAGCATCGACAATTACTGCAAGGGACGCATTGCCGTCAACGTGGTGTCCGGATGGTTCAAGCAGGAGTTCACGTCAATAGGCCAATGGTGGCTTGATCACGGAGAGAGATACCGGCGAAGCCGAGAGTTCATAGCGTGCTTGAAGGGCATCTGGACACAAGATCAATTCACCTTCAAAGGCGACTTCTACCAGTTTCACGATTATCCTCTCAAGCCGAAGCCAATTGCAAGGCCAGGCCGACCATATCCTGAGATTTTCCAAGGTGGAAATTCCATGGACGCAAGAGAGAACGCTGCTGCCGTATCCGACTACTACTTTATGAATGGCAACACCCTAGAGGGCTTCCAGACCCAGATTGCAGATGTCAAGGAACGGGCGGAGAAGCACGGCCGAGCTGGCGGGGTCAAATTCGCCTTGAATGGATTCGTCATTGCTCGAGAGACGGAGGAAGAAGCAATCAAAGTGCTGCAAGAGATCCAAGGTAAGGCGAACAAGGAGGCTGTCGAGGCCTTTGCGGACGCGGTGCAAAACGCTGGTGCCTCAACAGCCAACAAGACAGGCATGTGGGCGAATTCCAAATTCGAGGATCTTGTGCAATACAACGATGGCTTCAAGACCAAGCTTATCGGCACTCCGGAGCAGATCGCGGACCGCATCTTGCTCCTCAAGTCCCTTGGTATCAACATTCTATTGGTTGCTTTCCTTCACTATGATGACGAGATCCAGCAATTTGGAGAGCAAGTCCTGCCACTTGTCCGGAAGCTAGAGGCCGAGGGCCGTGGGAAGGATGAGGCATTCGAGATTTCGCTGACTGGCGATATGTATAGGGAGAAGAAGGACAAGCAGTAATTAGGATTTTCTAGATGATTGGGAGCGAAATTAGCAGTCTTCGTGTAGTCTCCTTACATGCTTTCAGGCATTGTTCCCATACGCCTGACAGGAGTCACAATGGTGATGGTCGTATTAACACATTAAGCGCAATCGTATGCGTTGTTGATAAGATCTTCCTGTAGCTACTTTGACGGAGCATTGGCACCGTCGTCAAGTACGCAGGTAGAGTAGACCCCTGGACGCCAAGATTTCTGTGCCAAGACTTCGTATAGGAAACGTCGCTAGAATCGGATCGGCCAGAGCCGTTTCACGCACCCTCGACGTAAGCGCTGCATTAATCTGTGCAAAAAAGTCTTCAGTATCATCTATCTTCAGAATCTTTGCAAACCCTACCCAATTGGCATCATGAGGGACATAGGATCTTTCAACCCCACGGAATGACAAAAATGCTGTTGTGAGAGAAAAATGGAGTCCTGTTGGCAGGCTCGCAATGCTATGAGATGCTCGGCAGATCTACAACACAACCCACTTGGACACGAAACTCAATCCGGGGTACTATGAGACCTATGCGTAATCTTCCATTGTATACCCTGCCCCTAGTTGATGAGGGATGTTGTCCTCTCTTGCACATACTAATGACCCTATCATCTTCATACTGTGCAGCCTGTACCTCCCACACAGATTATCATCGTTATTCGTCTCACCCGCCTTCTACTTCTCGGTCTATCGTTAACAGCGGGCTTGTTGGCGCAATCTATGACAAGAGCATCCACTGATGGCCTCCCGCCTCCACTCAATCGAACTTGGACCCCGGCTTCAGAACCCACTCTTCAACCGTGGCCCACAGACACAGATGCACCGCCGCAGGTATCCCAGGAATCCACCGGACCAGACGAGCCCGTCACAGCTCAAGCATGGCTTTCACTCCAAGTGCATGAAAGCTGTAATAAAACCCAGAAAAGCATGCTCATAGATGCATGGTCTGGCGCGGTGCTTCTTGATCATGCTCAGCAGAAATATGTACCAGGTGGCGCTTTTTCCGCGGCAATGCAAGGCTATTTTGGGGCAAACTTCGAGTATACCGGGCCCTGGTTTAAAGACTATAAGGCACGCATCGGCGGTAACCTGGAGAGACGACACAAGGTTGATACCGACCAAGCTCCCGCGAGCACTTACGTCTACCTCTCTTGCGAAGACTACTGGTTCAAATGTGCACAGTACCCTGATGTGCTGGGCTACTCGGATACTTACCGCCGTGGATCCTGGACGAACCATTACATAGTCATGTGTGATAATTTCTACCGAAGGACTCGCCTGTCTCGACGAGCCCATTGAAAATCACCTGAATGTCTTTGGTTGCCTTTGCTGACAATTTCCGTTTCGTTTATTATGTTTATTTCCGGCGCTCTGCGTTCTCTCCCAGCGGAGTTTGAGCAGCTGACAAGCTAAAATGTCTGTCCTGTACGCTAATCGATCGATCGCATGCGTTCGGGATTGACCGAAGCTCAATTTGACAGTCCTGGCGACGCCTAACGGAGAGATTCATGACTAGGCCAGGCGGATCGCCATTAATGCAACCAGCCAGGACCCAGCATGGTCTGGAGCTCCAAATTCTGGATATATGTGGGGATAATCTGGAGATCATGCATGAT